ATGTCTTTTTAATAATTTGGGGAAGTAATGATCTTTAACAAGGGTATCGCAAAACGGAGCATCTCTTCGAAAAGGAGCACATTGTGACGGTACATATTGTCGTTTTGTACATATTGTCGTCGGCAACAATATGTACCTACCCTCACTGCACATATTGTCCATCGGTACATATTGTCGCCGGCTGAAAAGTTACACATGTATATATTGTCGCTGGCGACATAATGTGCCTCACCCTCACTGTACATATTGTCGCCCCACAGATAATGATGCTTAAAGATTTCTTTTGTTGTTTTTTTGGTAGTTTTGTGAATGTAATTTGTGTGTGAATCACACTGACGTGTCTCGTATGCTATTTCATGCAACGTGATTGTGATGGTACATTTTGTCGTCCTGTTCAAATTGTCGCCGGCGACAATGTGTGCCTACCCTCACTGCGCATATTGTCGTCCATCAGAAAACGTCGAAAGACAATGCACGGCCCCACCCTAGGCCCGGTTTGATTTGAAGATAGTTGAGTCTGCGCTCCTGAGGATGCTTTCATATGAACATCACTATTCATGGGCCTACTACTGTTTCTCAGTGGTGGATCCAGAAATTTCAGAACGGGGTGGTGGGTGTCAGAATTTTCAGAATTTTTTTTGACAAGAAAAAAAAAAGTAATTTGTATATAAAGGTGTGTCACTATATATGTTAATTAAATTATTTAACTATGAAATTTCACCGGTGGACTAAATTGAGAGTATTTACAATTTACAATGTACAAGTTAAACAAACAGAATCTACCTGTTACGTATAACACACTCACTTCTCACATCAAAACAAAAGCAAACGATTGTTTGTAAGAGGCAGTATCATGCAAAATTCTTATCATTTTATCAGAACATTATTCAACATCCAAAAAACTGTACAATTTAATTATCATTATTGCAATCACGATTTTTTGTATTGGTAAGAATACAATTCAATTTAAAAAACAAAGAAAGAGAGAGAAAAACCATATGCAATAGGGTCAGTTTATTTTCATAGCTTGTTAAACTGTGATTCTAAGTCGGCTTTAGGAATGTTTGGGTGGCCAAACCGTGCCGACATGGGCCAAAGTACTGAGAATGATTGTCGAAACGTATAAATGCCAGGATTGCTATTTCCGAATCATGAATGTTTACATTGTTTTATTAAATTCTTTATATTTAGCAAGTGATGTTACATTATCTCTAAAATTTTAAATATTATGATGCATTTAGTGCTGATGCTTCCACCAAGCAGTTGAGTTCGAGTCGAGGAAAGAATAATTCCTAACCCAATTGCACAAAACTCAATAGTCACATAAAGAAAAGATCAATAATCCTAAAATACTTAATTTTATATTTCAGTTCTTTTATTTATATTTATATGTAATTTATCACCCATTGACTCATCCACACACTCATGGGCCCTCCACCTTCATTGCGGGGGGATTAAAAAATCAATGAATTGATACTGTGTCAATATGATTCATGGGGGGATTAGTCGAGCCATATGCCCACGCCCCTTAGTGTGTATATCGGAAATTTCTCAGTCGTGCAATTTTAAATGTGTACAGTATTGTCTATCTACATTCTTAACAAATACACTTGACCTTGCGTTTTCTGATCCAGAACTTTTAACACGATTAGTACCTTCCTTTATAATAAGAGCGCTGAGCTTTTGGTGGCAAATCGTTTATTATAGTAAATATAAATAATCTTTTGATAAAATAGAAGTTTTAAAATAGAAATATTTAAATTTCCCCTTCAGAATCGGCTGCTTGCAAATTAAAATCTGAATAGTTAAAATGAAAATAATATTTTAATAAAATAGAAGTTTTAAAATAGAAATATTTAATTTTCCCCTTCAGAATCGGTTGCTTGCAAATTAAAATCTGAATAGTTAAAATGAAAATAATCTTTTAATAAAACTGAAGTTTTAAAATAGAAATATTTCTGCAGGTCTTAACTTGATAACCTTGAAAGTCTTCAAACATCTTATCAATTCAACTTTTGATAGAATTGTGGGGTGAAATCACTTCACAAAGTTTATGAGAATCCTGCGACGTTAATAATATTGAAATCCACAATAAATGATTTTATGATCTTTTTTTTTCATTATTAAGAATTTTATTTTACAGACAACAGTGTAATGAATAATGAATGTCCAGCAAATAGTAACAATAGTTCAATTGTATCAGCTACATGAAATGACATTTTTACCAACCATATCAATAAAACAAGCTCAACTTACTTATTTGGTGTAAGTTCATAAGTAAATTCTCTTTAGGATCTTGCTGTAAGCAAATTTAAACTACTACTAAATAATTGACATTGATGGGAATAGATAATAAAACATTGCAAATGTTTATACATGTCTTGACTTGCAGCAAAGGGTCAGATAACACATACCAATTTTATTGACACTAGAAAGCCTTATAATGTTGACCTAAGAAAAATATCGATCTTTATGGATTTGATGCGTTTGTGTATATGCTGTGTCCGGTTGTCTAATTTTATGAGAGAGTGAAACTTGAAGTTTTAATCACAAAGGAAAAGTTTAATGAGTTTTCTAAATTTAATTTCCGTAAAACATTAATTCCCTCCTTTTATCACGTGGTGTGAACCCCCACCTCATATCTTTTACGCACGCACATTTTCCCTACGGCGACGCCGCAAGTCAGTTAGAAGCCTTGAATCTAACTGCTTGTAAGTTATTTTAATATGTATTTTGTTATACCCGCACTTTCTAAAGAAAGTTTGGGAATATTGTTGTTATCCTGGTCCGTTCGTCTATCATACTTTCTTCTTCCTGCCATTCCTCGAACAATTTAAGCAGTAATTTTCATTTTACATAAACTGGTTCCCAGAACTCCTCTTACAGTTTATGCAGTAGCAATTTCATCTTTTGCAAGTTGATTGGGGGTGTCCTGCAGATGTGCATTAAGGTTTTATTTTCACCCTAGGGACAAAAGGGGGTCGAAATACGGTTTTTATTTTACAATAAATATTTTTGCAAGATGATTGGGGTGTTCTGTAGATGTGCAATAAGGTTTCGGAATTTTCCTTTTCACCCTGCATGAGGGCCAAATGGGGGGTCAAAAATCGACGTTTTTAGCTCACCTGAGGTGAAAGCTCAAGTGAGCTTTACTGATCAAATTGTGTCCGGCATTCATCTGTATGTCTGTTTGTGCGTCCGTGCGTCTGTAAACTTTTCACATTTTTTATCAAGACCCCCGGGGGTAGGGTCGGACCACAATGGGGAATTGAAGTTTTACACAGGAATATTTAGGAATGAAATATATCGAGATAACGAACGTTATTCAAGCTCAAAAGTCCATTAAAACATTACAAAATAGGTGCAAAGCAAACACGGACCTCCAAAACATCAGAGGTGGGATCAGGTGCCATGGAGGAGTGAGCATCCCCTGCCGACCGGTCACACCCGCCGTGTGCTGACTGTTCTCCATGTCATGATCGGGAAATAACGGGAAAATCCGTCGACATTCAGTGTGTAAATAATGGCCTAACAATTAGTATGAAAAACATCAGTCAATATTGACTCAATGATAAATTGTATTTGCTGACAAGGTCATTGTATCGACCATAGAACTTACGAAATGATGACTTTAAACGAGACTGCTGATATTCTTGTTTCATCAACTTGTTTGTCAATAATTTACCTCGTTTTAGAAATTGTACGTACGTAGAGCATGCTCTTGCGTATCGAATCAACTGAGAGATATAAACCCCGTATGCAGGTGATGAAGGTATATTGCTGCATAAGTAAGGGAAGTTGACGATTGAGAAGTTAAAGTCATCACGTTTATCATAAAGCTTGGTTGTTAGATGACCATTAACGTCTTTTCCAAGTAAAATATCCAAATATGAAACAGATGTGTCAGATTCTGTAGTATATTTTATCTCAAGCTCACCAGGGTATATCGTATTGACATAAAAATGGAAATAACCATTGTTAATTGACAATACGTCGTCGATATATCTAAATGTCGAGTTGAAGGCCACGGCAAGTGTTTTCTTCTTTTCAGGTATAAGATTTTGGACAAATTCTGCTTCATATGAATACAAAAAAAGGTCTGCTAATAACGGGGCGCAATTGGTACAAATGGGAATTCCATTAGATTGTTGGTAGACCTGGTCTCCAAAAACCACATAGATATTGTCAATCAGAAACTCAAGCATCTTTTTAATGTCAATTTCAGAGTACGTGTATGTACAATCAGAATGTTTTTAACAAAATAATTTTGCAAATGACCAATGACAAGGTAAGTAAATTCATGAGTTCCATTTTTATTGAAAAAGCCTGGATTTTAATTTATCGTGGGGAATGGCTGTGTATAAAGTTGAAAAGTCGTAAGTTTTTAAGCTGTTGATTTTGGTAAAATCTTGTGATTTCAAATTTTTCCAAAAGTTCCTTGGAATTTTGAAGTATCCACATCTGATTCTGAGGAAAAAATCTTCTCAAGAACAGCTAAGCCATGATCAGTCATATTGATATGGAAGCATCCTCAGGTTGTACATTGGTTTTATTCTTATACTTTCATAAATTTTAATGAAATCAGCTACCCCAGGTGACTGAAAACGTTTAAGCACGGATCTAATATATGCATTAAGCATTCTGCTAAAAAAAATCTTAAAAACGTGATATAAAATGAATTTCTGAAGAACGGGGTCAATTTATTAATTAGAGCAAATTTCTTGAAGTGCAACAGCAGTTACGCGATATATTATCAAAAAAAAAAACTTTATATACCCCACCCCCTTTCCGCACATAAATATTTACTATTGATTTAATATGAAAAAGGCCGGTTGCTACCCCCCCCCCCCCCACACACACACACACTTAATCTCCTCAGAAACCATAGAAACGGTTTTAAAAAAAAACTCTGCCAGTTGATTCTTGATTAGCCCAAAAATAAATGAAGACGCCAAAGATATAGAAGTAGTTTTTTTTATTCTTTTTCTAAAGTTCTGGCAACAAATTATAACAAGCTGCATTTTCATTATTATCTACCATATGATGCAGTTCCGTATTAAAATAATTCCAGTAATCATATCTTCAGAGGCAGAATATTTCATTCAAAAAATTTTATTCGTGACAAAAATACTTCATCAAACTTACTCAAGGACCAGCCTTATAAACAGACATCTTAATTACAAACAAAGTAATCACTCAATCTCAATCGTCGTTTTATAAGAATACAAAGTCAACATGACAGATAAAACCACATACAAAATATGACGTGTTTATTTTTTTACATAATATTTGTTAAAATTGTTCTGAGAATGCTCTTCGAATCATCTTTCTCAGGACATTCTAATACGTATCATATCAAGTTATATGATACAAAATGTATCATGTAAAAAATGCACTGATTATCTCTTCACATTTCCAGGCAATCCAAGCGATATAGGTAAAAACAACACGGGCTCAATATTAATTCGTGCCTTCATCAACTCGCGCCATCATCTGCTGAAGCATTTGATGACGTAGAACTTAGCGCACCATTGTCTTTATCAAGGTTACTCTGTAACTGTTGTTTCCACATTTCCTTGTAAAATCCACCGTGTAACAAAAGTTCATTATGGCTGGAAAGATAACGTTCATTAATTAAACCATGTGCTTTATCTGCATTTTTTAAATTACAACTAAAGACAGCGACGAAAGATATTTAAATGAATAAAGGATTAAAATTGAAAAAGATATTTTCAGGTCTTGGTGGGTGGTCAGGCTCCCAACCCCCTAAATATCTAATTTTTATTTTTAATTTTTTTTAGTCAATACATCATTTCATTAGAACATTCGAATTGTATTTACTAGGCAGTTGTCATTCTTTTGAATTGCATATAAACTGTGCCTATCAAAACCCAATAAAAAAGGGTTCCTATTTTTAATCTGTTTTTATGGCATTTATCAAGATACAAATCTGGGAGAGTTCTTGCATTCTTGTTTTATTCCTTACAACTCTCTATTAAATTGAATTATATTTAAACACAGATATACATTTTACTATATAAATAGTATATAATAACCGAACTATCAAAGATTTTAAAAAATGAAACTTACGTTCCTTTTTCCACAATCACACCCTCTTTCATAACCAGAATTTGATGTGCATGTATTATCGTCGATAATCGATGAGCTACGATAATCGTAGTTCGGTTGCGACAAATTTCCTCTAAAGAGGCTTGTATATATCTCTCTGTGCTTGTATCAAGAGCTGATGTGGCCTATATAAAGTAAAATGCATTGTATACAATAATCATTGTGGTGCCTTGTACATTTTCAATATTGTCAAATAACGTTATGTGTATTAAAGAGACAGGTTGTATAGGCAATGAAAGATTTGTCAGTTTTCAATATAGATACATGTATATTAAATAAAGATGGTTAACTTTAAAAATATAATACCTCGTCTAGAAGCACAATTGTTGGGTTTTTCAGTATTGTTCTTGCAATGGCGACTCTTTGTTTCTCGCCTCCACTCAGTTTTAATCCCCTTTCTCCAACTACCGTATCATATCCTGGTATTAAGAAAATATCAACCATATGAGTATAGAATTTTTATCTCATTTCTATTAGATGGCAATTAGTAAGTTAATTAAAGTATTAGTATAGGTATACATCTATATTTGTACATGAATTGCATAATTAATTTTATGGATGCTGACAATTAACGATAATCACACTATCTGTAAATTAAAGGCAATGGGCTTAAAATTTCCTGACAACTTATCGTCAAAAAGAATTTCTGTTAAAAACTGATATTAAAAGAAAAAAAAATCTAAAACATACAGGCCTTAACAATAATGATAACCATACAATACTGCATTTTTTTCAGGTTCGGTCAAATTTTTTTTAGGCATATATGTACTGTAATTATATAAAATGACAAAATGATTATTACTCTCTACGGAATTCAATATGTTGAACAAATGAGCGCTAGAGAGTGTTCAAACTTCATAACCTACACAATAGCAAAACAAATAAAAGAATGATACTATCTTAATTGCAATTTAATGCTAATATATGTTTTGATTTTTTGAAATTTTTTTAAACAGGTTATCATAATGGAAGTTTTTTTCTCACCGTCAGGAAAGCTTAGAATCCTGTTATGGATGTCTGCAGCTTCTGCTGCCTCTAAAACATCGACGTCATCTGCATCTTGGTTACCATAGCGTATGTTGTACCGGATGTCTTGATTGAACAAAACTGTGTCCTGAGGAACCACCCCAATCTGTTTTTGGAGTGAGATTTGTGTGACCTGGAAAATTAGACTAAAAAGTATCAACTTTCAAATTCTGAAATCGAGAACTGGGAATGAAGCTCACAATTCGAGCTTTCTGATTAGCAAGATCTGGAAAGAATTCCGAGTTTTAATCAAAATAATTAAATTTTAGTACCTGTGAAATATCTTGCCCATCTACAAGAATTTCTCCGCTTTGAATATCATAAAACCGGAACAAAAGTCGAACGATTGTACTTTTTCCGCTACCAGAATGGCCAACCTTGAAAATTAATTACTGCATTATTAATATCATAAAAAATATTTGCTTGCAATTTGCAACTAGACATAAAGACCACTTTTATGCAGAATTTTACAAAATTAAAAGATAATTAAGCATTTTAGTACCTGTTTTCTTTAAAAGGAAGAGCATTTGAAGGAGAAGTTAATTAATGTGTTAATTTTTTTTTACTTTCCCTTATAATATCAAAAAATAAATTAAACATTACATTTGAGTTAAAGGACTGTATAAAACTTCAACATATATTTTGCATATGTAATTATGGTGACGGTACTAGTAACCGAAAAAAAAACCCTCAGTATTTAGAAGAAAAATCTTACCAATGCATATGTTTGCCCTGCAGGAACAGTAAAGGACAAATTCTTCAAAATAGGACGTCTGCAGAAAAGATAATCAATATAATGATTTCAAGCATATCTGCCTGAAGGTGTACATGAAAACTTTGAAATATGCGTTTTGTTATAATCGGAACAATATAATTTTGGAAAACCCTTCTTTGAAATTTAAATTATAAATTTCAGAATTTTTTTAATCTTTAGCATCTATTTCAAATGAAATGAAAGACACATCGTTTTTATTATTCTAATACATAATATGAAATCATTTTTGCTCAAACTGATAGGTTAAAAATGTTCTCTCTCGAACGAAATGTCCTTACTCTTTTGTATAGCTAAAACTGACGTCCCTAAATTCAATCTGTCCTCCATGTAACACAAGATCTGATGCACCAGTTGGGTCAGTGATCTACAACACAATTTATACCTGTATTTGCAAACAATTTATGCCTGTATTTGCAAACAATTTATATCTGTATCCTAACACATTTTCTACTTGTATCTAAATTATGTGTACTACTACATACTACACCAGTACTATATAGTCGTTGAATAATTTTTTTTCTTGCAGACTTTAAGGGGAAAAAAGATAAATAGTATAAAATGCAATTTTCAAATTCATACCTCGGGCTTTTCTTGCAACAATTCGAACATGTTCTCCATGTCAATGAAGGCCTGTTGTATCATCCTATGTTAATAGAAGGAAATTCATAATGAATATAGATTGGTTATGCTTATATGTTTATAATATGAGAAATATTCATGTTATGGAATGTAACTGTATAATAAAACTTTTAAATCTTGTAATTTTTTCAACTCTGCATTTCAAAAGCCTTTAAGATTTACTTTAACATTATGTAAAACAGTATAAGCTATTCTTGCAGAGTATGTCTTCCATTACCTGTAGTATGTTCCGATCCAATTAAGTGGACCATATAACTGAGTGATGTAGGTTCCAAACAGGATGTAGTCTCCAACAGTCAGTTTGAGACCGTCAATATCGTCAATGACGCAGTATGCACACAAGAGGGAACCCACACAGAACCCCACGGTGATTGTGATGTTCTGTAGACAGCTCAGTAAGTTTAAAGAAGCGGTCGATTTGAATTCTGCCACCTGTGTTTTAAAAAAAGATAAATACTGTGATGCACTATACAATACTTAAGTTATGCTAGTAAATTCTGGTCATCTCCGCAAACAAAATGACTGAGAAATCAAATTTCGGGGGTAAAATAAAGATTATATGGACTTCGCGATATCAACTTACTTTTTAATGAATAATATATATGTCAGTTGTATGCAAAGAATGCATTTTTTTTTCATTAATTAGAACAGAATAATGGAATTCTCTTTTACCTGAAAACTGTGTATTGCTTTGTCGTATCTGTTAATTTCAAAGTCTGAAGCTGCATAATATTTCACCTTTTGAACAAAAAAAATGAACATGTTAATAAAGTCATGCAAACAGTAAAAAAAAAAAGCATGTGAATGTATTTTAAAAGTGAAAGGAATGTAATAAAAGCAAAATTGGGTTTTTTTTCACTAATGATTTGTTCAAGCACAATGAATTTTGATAATTTACTGTACTTATCAGCATAAAATGAAATATACAGTAAATTTTAATCTTTAACTGTTTTGATCCTAATTTTCTCTTTTTTTTTCTATTTTATTTTAATGAAAAATAAAGTTTCATTTAAACAATTCACGTAATTTGGGTTGATCATTGAGATATAATGGGCAATTCATTAAATGCTCTATTATTAATACAGTATACATTATTTGTACATCCCAATTGTGACTATAAACACACATTAAGCTGGCTCATTGGTCATACGATACATACTTTCAAGTCACAATTCATTGACCTTAGCCATGCCAAGGGAATATTCAAAAATGTTTACTAAAATCCCAAGATAGTCAATAAAGCAATACTAACTAAGCTGTTCAAGAAAATACAAGTTTTTCTAAATTGTATGTTGTACTATTATTTTTGGTTGGTGAAATGGATTCCAAGCAAGATTATTATAATTATTTTCTTTAAACATCGTTTGCAACTATTTTTTTTCCATAAAATGGTATATTATAATACATAAATCAGAGGGTTTGTAGTTTGTACCATCATTTTACATAAATATAGATTTCAAAGTCATGTATAATTTACAAATTGTCTATGTCGGCAACAAAATGTGTTCACACAAAATATTATGATTAATAATTGCTGTAGACAAACAATATCGTATGTTTGTTATAGATATATACAAGAGTTACATATATCAACTTCATATATTCTCCATACATCTTAAAAGGTAAAAGCAAAAGTTTTGAGTTCGAATTCCATACTTGAAAATAGCATTTAATTTTGATAAAATTAAGATTGGATTTCTTCTGTGATATCACAATCTACCTATATATAGAACACAACATCAAGAATTATATTTTTTTTCCTTTGATTCATTCATTTTGAACACAGACACGCGGGGGAAGAGATGAACAGTTTCAGAGTTAAAAATCACCCTTAGATGGCCAAGTGAGAATGCATTCTTGACTATATTAAGTACTAAAACCACTTCCCCGTGTACAATTTTGATATTACACAATACCGTTTCAAAATTCAGCAAGGAATCAACAGCTGTCTGGTTTCGTTGATTGTCCAGTCTGTTCTGTAGTCGTCGGAATTTTGTACGCCATTCTGTGATCAAAACCGTGATACCTGTCGAGAAGACAAACCGATTCACTTATCTTACACAGAAAAACAAAAGTATAATAATAATTATTTTTTTAATTGGTGATTTATCCTTTGTTTAGATCCCAGGAATTGTCAGTACATCAAAGGTATATATAACATCCTATTTATTGCAGCGCTTTTTCACGATTCTAGTGGCATTATCGTAAAGAAAATTCTTGTATTAAGTCGCTTGATCAATATATATATATATATATATATATATATATATATATATATATATATATATATATATATATATATATATGCACATATAGTGTTTGAATTGTTTTCTTTATCTCTTTAAAACAATAGAATTTACATTACATGAAAATATAAAAACTTTTTAAGTATGTTATTGATATTGTTTAGGTTATAACATCAAAAATATTTTTTTTCTTCTTAAAAAATAGTAAATGAGTTCATGTACACCTTTCAGTTTCAAGATATGGCTGTTAATGTCTGCTCACCTAGATATAACAGCATGCACATGAATGTAATGATTCCAAAAATGTAGTTGAAAGCCAAGACGAAGTACATAATGGCAAGAATAACGTCCACAATGGTTGGAAAGATGTTGAATAATATATATCTGCAAAAAATACCAAACTATTTCACTGAAACAATTCACAGTGAAATTTTTGTTAATCTAAACGTGATGCTTGCTTTTAAAAACGTATTTCAGGTGCCTTGAATTAAGACAAATTTCAATGTTATACTTTTTTGTAAAAGTTGGTGCTGTGAACATTATTTTATTCTAATTACTATAAACCGGGCCTCTGAGGAGAAATTTGACTCACCCTAATAAACTATTAATACTTGTTGTCCCTCTATCTATTGTCCTCAGTACTTCTCCTGTTTTTCTCTCTAAGTGCCAGCGCAAAGATAAACTGAAACCAAATCAGTTGGTAATTTATTAAGAGCTGAAAGAAATTAACTATTTTCGAAGGATTAACATTTGATATCACATACATGAGGACTATGATTAATTTTTTTTTTTTTAGTATTTAAAGGTATATATTTTTGATTAATGGGGGAGGGATTTGATATCTTAATCTAAGTCAATTCAGATTTACCTGTGAAGATGCCGTAGAAATTTAAGCTGTATTCGTCGTGTTGTGTATTGCTGAATCGGAATCCACAGAAAAGCGCGCATATTGTTCAGGAACCCAGTCGTACCTGACAAAAGAAAAAAATGCTTAAATAGCTATGATAGTACGATCATATTTTAAATATGAAGAAAAATCAGAAACAAATAAAAATTGTTTATTTCATATTTTACATTTTATGTGTGCTTAAATGGATGTACTACAAGCAAGGTATCTATATATAACACTTGGAACAGACTGAACGATTATTAATATCATGTTGTGAAGTTATTTTTCTTCTACAATCTTACAATCGTGAATATTATTTCTTTATGGAATGGAAAGAGATTGTTTACAAATTCCAAGAAAGTCCAAACCCTGTTACGTATTGTTTACTCCGTTAAAATGTACATAAAATATTCATCCTTTTCATCCCTTTCAAAATGGTATCTTAGTTTTTACAATTGCATGTATGGACATTTTTCAAGATTTTTACAAAAAAATAAACTGCATATTTTGGACGGATTGGTATTGCTACAAAAGAAAGACGCAAAATATTTGGTGAAGTTTACTATTTTTGATATATTGATTATTGTCGCTTTTGAAAATCTTTCCATTTTGCTTTTCAAAATTAAATTTTCACAGAACTCTTTTTGGAACTGATAACCATTTCCACAGGAGTGTCATATACATATCTTTTTAAGTCTTTTACACGGTTTTATCAAACTGAGGTCATTTTTATTCGACCTCCAGTTGTTTCAAATCCGGTTTAAATCTGGACTGTCTCTGCTACAGAAGTCTATAAACCTTTACTGTATTTAGAAGAAGATACTGAAATACGTTAGTAATATTTGTGCATTTTTTGTATTTCCCCCAGATAAGGACTTGTATTTTTTGCTAGTACGGTGTCATATTTCAAAACCAGAAAATATTTTCTCAAAGGAGTGCAGTATCAACACGTCCGAGGGCCAGACAAGGTCCTGATTTAAACCTAAATAAAAACACCTGGGATCGAATAAAAGAAAAAAAGTTAAATTTTACTCAAAACAATGCAATGATTATGATGATATGTGAACGGTACTCCAGCGGGAATGGTGATTAAATTTAAAAAGTTCTATGAAAACTTAATTTATACAAAACCTAGTTGCATTAAGACTAGTGCTTTTGCATAAATTAAGGGAGGCAATTAAATTCTACAAAATAATTTTTAATCATGAATATAAAAACAAAATTGAAAACGTAATCATATTTTTTGTCTTTGTTTAGTACCAACAATTTTTTCTTTCTGAAATATGCATTTCATGTTTTTCAGATTTATAGAAATCTTTAATCCGTTATTTGAATTATTATTCAAAATCTTATGATTCATCTTCCAAATCATTTGATTTTTATTCGATAAATGTTATTTATACTTGTAATTATGCTTCCTATGCAACATCTTGTTATTCATATGCATCTCACTCAAGTAGTTGAGGTAAATACTTTTCAAGGTGCAAAGACATAATGCAGAATTAATGTATTAATGTTTCTGCAAGACAGGAACATTTTCTTTCGTGCCGCCTTAAGATACAAACGCATGTATATCATCTATCTATGGCCTTTAGTCATTCTAGCGTGAACCGAACATAGTCAATTATTATGTGTCGGTATAACTTTGCAAGTTTATATAATTTCATCGTAATCTTGTATGTTTGTTTGTTCTTTTTATTGCTTAATGTCCCTCTCGAGAAATTTTCAGTCATATCGAGACGCCACCATTTGCCGGTTGAGGGCTGCTAATTTAGACCTATAATCGGCAATCAGGACCATTGAGCAGTGAAGGATCTTTTTTCGTGCCAGCACCTACTGCGACATGGGACCTCGGTTTATACGGTCTCATCCGAAGGACCAGTCTCCGCGTCCCTCAATGGGATTCGAACCCGCTAAGTAAGGATCAACTCCTTACTCTGCGACTCTAGAGCAAACGCTTTTATCACTGCGCCATGCGGGCAACAATCTTATAATAAACAATAATTTAGGCTTTACTACTACACAAAATTTACCAGTTCCACCTCCCCTCATAAACAGCAGTAGACAATACAAGAGGATCAAATCCCATCTGAACACTGGCGAAATCACTTGACCTGACTCGTCCTTATATGGGGTTAAACTGTCAACTGAAATAAACATAAAAATTGCAATCAAAAGCAAATATTATTTGATTTCAAAACATATTCATTTAAATAAAAAATGTGCATCCCGACATTATCATGGCGACGTTGATCGGGGTCCGGGAATTCCTGACTGTCCAAGGCTCTTGACATATTTCATGGTAGAATTTAAGTGATTTGGTGTTCGGCTTACCTATAAGTTTTGTGTATTCTGGAACAAAAAGGTTAACAACACGTCCAGAAACAAGGATGACAAAACAGAACAGCACTAACAACTGACGCCATATGCTCCCTGTTGGCCAAACAATTGGAATCATCATTCGAATGTTATCTAACAAGCTTCCCCAAGTTGATTCTTTTCGCTTTGATTTCGGTTCCTGTGATAGAAAAAAACATTGCAAATGTATTTTCGAAGTGTTTTGTACACTTATGATTTATTGTTTTGTCTTAGTTTTTATACCTTTCTGATGCTTGTAGTTAAGTGGGCGCTGTTCTTTGGCAGGCTAGGTGCCAAGAAGCCGAGAATCATCAAACAGATAATTCCAATATACCGGACAAGCCATAGTCCAAATTCCACTTTTTTGGAGACGCTATAACACAAAAACACAAATGTACTTATCAATCTTCTTGCATTAATGAAACAAATCAAAATTATTAATCAAACCAATATTCTTACGTATCTTCGTTCCACCAGTAAATTTTGCTGTTCCAAGAAATAAAATACAGGCTCTCTTTGACAAACACCAAAGTCCAAAACATCAATAGTACAAATCCATGGCCTTTGATAAATCGGGGTAATGTCTGGTTTCTCTCTAATACAATCAGTCTTAGACAGAATGACCATACGTAAAACATGCTAAACAGAACCACAACATGAAAGCCTGATAAATCTCTGTTTCCAATAGTAGTGTCATGAAGTATAACGTGTATCATCACCTCATTCATTAAGAGAACAATTATCGTGATCTGAAGAACCATTCCAATAGCACTGGGTTTGAAGCTCGATTCAATTCTCCTACCATATTTGGCGAAAGTTGCTAATTGTCCTGATCCGGCGATGGTCATGAACGCTACCAGTATGATGGACCATACAGTCTCGTAAAAACATCTGTTTAGGCCATTATCTACCCAAATGTCCGTAAAATTGTACTCTCCACAATAATACATGATTTAAAGTTTATCAATGAATGATCTTATTTAACCCCGTTTACCTACAAATATAAAGACAATATCTGAATAATACTAAATAATGCATCTTTAAAAACTTTGTATCAAAAGAATAGAAAATGTGAAAAAGATCTGTTTCAATCAATGATTTACTGTTATTTATACTTCTTGAAAATGAAATACAATTAATTTTATTTTTTTAATCATAGAAAAATAAAATATATTTGTTTGCCTTTTGTTTAATGTCTGAAAAAGAGAAATATAAACACTTACCTTTTGAGCTAATTTGCTAAACATTAGTGTATCATTCTTACGATCAGAATAAATTCTAGCTTATTTTTGCACAAGTCGACATTCAATGCCATCACATGACCATCGTACAACGCGAGCGTCCTTGAAGATTCCCATTCATTTTGGACAGCCATATAAAATCGTCATTGAAATATTATTTAGTTAGTTCTTAGTTCATTTAACGAAGAGAAATTTTGAGAAATTGTTTTATTTAAGTTTATTCAAAACTTTGAAACAAAATAAAACAATAAAATATTTCTTTGTTCGTATAGGTATTTTGTGTGTGTGTGTTGAAATGGATTATAGCTACAACTGAATAAGAATTGAAAAAAAATTGTCGAAGCAGTTGCTCTGTTTACAGTATATCTAAATACCTATATTTTATGTTTATAAAAGATGAGTAAACAAATGTATATTTCTTGTTGAAAAGTGGGGGAGGGGGGTCTCAAAACTGGAATATATATTTATATATAGAAACCGAACCCATGACATTTAATGCGTCACATGACTGTGGCATTTACCTGTAACGCTTACTTTGTGTTTACTCGTGCAAATCAAACAGTAACCTAAGCTATCGCTGCTACAGGTGTATTTTTAACAAATACACATAAATAAAGTTTAATGAAATTGGCATTGGTGTCATTATAAAACTGATATTATAAAATTTGGGATTAAATTTCATGGTCATAGTGGTGGTTCTATCATGTCAAGGTAAATGATTAATATATATCCGTTAGATATATTGACCCCATATGTATTGGAATTGATTTGATTTGAACATATTTTATTAGGTAGAAACATAGTGCGTACTAAATGGATTGGGCAGCAGGCATAGCCTATATAAGCCCTCTCCACAGGTACAAGGTTCATTTAAATTACACATAATACTACATCATATAGTTTAATACAGGTTCATATAAGAAAATTGATTGGAAATTAAGCAGAAAAAAAAAGTGGGGGAAGAAAGTTGTAAATGATTACCGGTTTTATGAGAAAATGAGATAAAAAAAATAAGTGGGAAATACAGCAAATTAAATTATATGAAATACAGTGAATGTGTATTTGAATAATAAAATTACATAATTTCATATAATCTATGAAACCTCTTAGTTTGTAAAATAAATTCATGAACACAATCAAATAATTTAACATTTTTAGCATAAGGAATATTACTATTACCAAATAACAATAGATTTAGAGATAGCGGATGTTGCAGGTCTATACTAGATATACAATTCAAAAGAGTATTTCATATACTCTTACAATTCAAAAGAGTATTTTCCAATTGTATTGGAATTCCCTGCTGTTGACATTCTATATAGATGGATTTTATCTCTTATTTTGGAGTTGTTCTCCAATCGTCATTAAACTCTCTGGATCCGTTGGAATAAAAGAACACACACGACTTTGAGCTTTATCACTTTTTATTATTTTCTTTTCACAGCATTTCTCATCTAGAGAAAATTGTCGTGCATTTCGATCTGATTAGGATATTTATAAAAAGTCAAGTTCCAATCCTTGTTTGAGAAACAATTTTACTTCTCCACTGCACAATGTGTATCTCTCAGCGATTTGACCATCGCTTTAATCCAGCATCTGACTTTGGCAACATCGGTAAATACAGTAGGATAATTCCTGCACGTGCTGGACCCCCAAGACGTGATACCCACCAAAACAAATGATCCGCCACACTTACAAACCAAAGGTGATCCACTGTCACCCTGACAGAACAAACGATAAATTTTAATGCAGGCCATTTTTCCAATAAGACAAAAATTCTTAATTTTTTCGTAGTTAATAACATATGCGTTTAGGATTAACTGTTGGGAAATACAAAGAAAATAAATAACTAAATAATATTCTGGAGTGTTGTTGGAATTCAAGTGTATTACTTATGCGACCTTGAAGGCAAATCAATCAGCTATCGCATTTAACAGCACATGTTTCATGGGTTTTATGAAGATTCGCTTCATAATATTTCAAGATCTGTAAGGAATTTTACAACCTCTAATGGACAGGCGAAATTGACATAGAAATCTTTAATTTAATGTCAAAATACATTCTTATCAACCAAAGATAGTCAAATATAATCATATTGTAACTGGGGTTCATCGCATCTATGACTTAGGAACAACATCATAATTATCTATATAGCTATATATAGGTTAGAGTCGTGAAATGTTGTTTCATAGAAAATTCACACTTGCAAATTATAGTTTAGAGATATTAAATATAGTTTATGAATCTAAAAATCTGCTAACGATGATTCTCGGGTACAATAAAAATTACCGTTGCAAAGTCAAATCCAATCATGCTTTGACTAGGTTTATCTGTGTCTATGATTTACCAAGGAAACCATACATGTAGTTAGCTTGTTAAGTCGTAAAAAACAATTTCACAGCAAAAAAAGTCCAATTTCGTTACAAAATCAGAGATTATCTTTTTCAAATGAAAAACTTTATCAGTTTATGAATTCATCGCCATGTTTAACTGAAAAGTTAGTTGTAAACTCTAATTAACATTTTTAAAATAATTATAGTTTAGAGTTGTTCACCATAGCTAACAAATCATAAAACTGTATTTATCAGATAAAATGTTTTGCACTTGCAAATATTTTTTTTTCACCGTTAAATATAGATTGTAGGCGTAAAAAATGCATAGATGAAAATATGATACTCTTTGTAAACTATAACTTACAATTCATGAAGCTAATCATCAACTGTTAAACTGTGCTTAGCTGATTTTTTTTTCTTAATTTTGGCGTTTACATACATGTATCTTAAAGCGTAAAAAAGAGTACAAATTAACTTTACCTCGCATGCTGCAGTGTTCTTGTAAAATGCGCATAGATTGGTATCCTTAACAAGTCCATCCCAATAGCGCTTTGAGTTGCATTTCTTGTTGCTAATGACTTCAATATTTGCTTCTTGAAGTTTATTGGCCAGTAATTCTTCTTTTTGATCTAAGATGAAAATATGTACAGAAAATTTTTCAGATCTAACATGTAACTGTTGTATTTATCTTTTAACAATGACATCCTGTTTTATTTCATTCAGCATGAAGTTAGAACGAGTTTTGCAATGATGAAAGCATGTTAGTCGTTAGAAATGCAATAACAGTGTGTTGTTTACATTTTTAGGTATCATCACTACTTCTTCCAAAAGACTGTTACGGAAGTGGAGCGAAAATAGGTCATGAAACACAGAATAAGAAAGTCAATATGAGAGGCTCTTTTTCTGCATATCATATAGTATTGTTACGGAAGCCCATTTAGGACCTATCAAAATTCAACAAATTTGTTATAACAGATTAAATTCGTTATAACGAATTCAAAGAAATTGTTATAAAGAATTAAATTCGTTATAACAAATTCTACAATTCGTTATATCGAATTCGAAAATATTTTTGATAGGTCCTAAATGGGCTTCCGTATATTGTAAACCACAGCTATCTGTTTCCATATAATGTGTTTCGTTAAACAAGCGTCTGAGAATGTGATCTTACCCACACTTTTAACACCCCACCCTGTAATGAAACACCTATATTTCGACATCTTTGATGTTTCCAGGTCTCCCTTTTCTGCTACCCTAATGGTCTTTACGTCTCGGCTGTCACTAGCATTCCTTGCTAAATATAATAACGCCACATCAAATCCACCAAGAAAGTTTCCTTTGAATTCTGGATGCTGTGATTAAAGGAAAAAAATATTAATAATTTTTTTTATATAATTTTAAAGTACAATTCTTATTTTGCTCCTTATTTCTTAAGGACACAGGAAAAAAACAAACTGTTTGGGTTTTTTTTTCACAAAATCATGAAAATAACGACTAAATCTATGTTCATGTGTGTAAAAAGGAATGCGTTTAGCAGCATAACGTTTCATTTTAATTCAAAATTTCTCATTGATGTCCTATAAAGTGACAAAAATTTGTATAGATTTATAAGGGTGATGGCAAAAAGAAGAAAATTTAACATCATAAACGATCTACAGTTTCTTTATATTTTAGAGATTTGATATATACAAAATTTACAACCAAAATTAAGTCCAAACATGAATACCAATCCATGCATTCGATTTTTTTTTTCATTCGTAGCATGTGTACTCAATGCAGTTTATTGCATATTATGGAATGAAATTGACTCACAACTTCAAATCTGGAAACTTTTATGAACTGTTCTGCACCTTCAGCGATTGACCTATCATACTCTCCAAGCACCACTTTGTATGTATCAATACTGAAAAAAGTAATATTTCAAAGGCACTCAATCTATCAATGTTTTCTAAATAATTTCGACGAATTGGTCATTTTTAATATTCTTAACCTTCTCCCCAACAGACAATGAGCAGCAGTGAGTACGACATCATATTCTATGAGCGTGCCGCCACATATAAAGTCGTCTGCTATTAGAATCCCAGCTTGCCAAGGCCACGTATATCGCTTTGCGTCATTTCCGCCTATGATCAGACGATTTGGAGGCAATACAGAAATTGACTTTCCGTGGCCTAAAAAAGGGAATAGGGAAATAATTTCTTTGTTTCTTTGATATATTATTTACATTTTTTTCAGAAGTTCGAGCTTATGATATTTAAAAAATACTAGCAAGTTATAAAAATGCTATACAAACGGTTATACAAGACAATTGCAGAATATACTCTGTTGAAACGAAGCCAATCCTTGTTGAAATTGTTCAAGAATACTTATCCTGTCAGTGGAAAAGAATAATCCAATACCGAGTTATTTTCTCTCTTAAGACTATTAAGAATATTAAGAAAAATATTTATAAAACGCAAAATGACTAGCAGGGAAAAACTGAGGTGCCCGATTAAGGCAATACTAGTATACTTACCAAACCGTAGAATGTTAACTAAAACGCTGTAAAGACTTGTTAATTGAAGATAGGATGCCATCACTAAACTGATGAAACTTTTGCTGGATGATATATTTATACTTTCCGTATCTGATTCCCGCCATTTTCTAAAGGATTACCAAGACAAATGAATTATGTTTAACGAAAAGAAGTTGATATTTTTTTTGGTTAACCACAAAATGCGCAAAATATCGTCCGAAATCCATAGACAGATAGAAAGTGAGTATGCAGAGCGAGAACTTTTTCCAGATTCAAGATTCTAAATTTAGAATGGCTCATGGAAAGTGACATTGTTAAGTAGATTATGAAGTCGAGTGTTTCCTAAAGTAGCGTCAGTCCTAGAATAACCATTTCAATAATCGATGTGTATTCTGTAGATTGAGAACTCAGCTGCGTTCAACAAAATGGTTATATGCTCATTATGTATAGCTATTCTCTACGTCAGGAAGGAAGCAAATAAAATTAAGGGAGGCGCAGAGAAACTGAGGGTTGTTCCAAAACTTCCAAGGTACTTAACTTCATTTGTGTTTAGAATTAAATTATTGAATTGAAATTATAATTTATTGATTTGAAATAAAAAGTATGAAATTGAAATTTTTAAACATGATTGGAAATGACAAATTATTGAGTTAAATTTCAGATTATTAAGCTGGAAGCAAATATTAGCGATTACTAATTCTATATTTGTTATTATAGCATATTTCGTAAAATTCCTAATTCGGGTTTTGATTGTGTGTGTGTTAGTGTGGGTCTTTTTTTGTGTAGGGCCTAAAATTTTGGACACATTAAGGACACTCGTTACAAACAACAAATTGGTTTCACGGATTGGTATACATTTTTTAAATTCATTTTGGTTGTAAATGATGCAAATAACAATTTTCTCCAATGCTAAGAAATTTTAAATTTTCCATTTCAAAATTCTCACTTCTTGCCATTCTCTTTTAAATTAAAACAGTTTTTATATCACTTTACAGGACACTTCTGAAAAATCTTGAATATGGCACGCTCGATCGTGTAGCCCATTTTGTTTTGATGTTCCATCTTTATTGCTTAACTTTCTTATGATGGTTCAATTGTCTTATTTCATGGGTATTTTTTCTAGTAATTTTGGGAGGATCAGACATTATCATATTTACGTAAATAACAATCAGAGCTTGAGAGCTGATCTCCTTCTTGTGTGCTAAATTGTTCACACTTTTATCGTCATTCTAATAAAATGATATAGATCTAATTCATCTCAGTTAAAGTGTTATATCTAAAAAATTTTGAATAAAAATTAAACTTTATATTTTTAAACTTATCTATATGTATTTTTACTTGCACATACTTAGAACCACAATCCATTTTTATGAATTTTGAAGGAAAAAAAGTCTGTTTGCAACAAGTGGTCATTTTTTTTCTTTTTTCTGTTACTAGTTTCTATCGTATATTTAATTCCCTGTTCACCTTATTTTTTTTTAAATTTACTTTGCATTAAATTGAGGCAAAAAAAATATACTACGAATAAAACGAACAAACAGTGTTGCAAATTAGTGTTCAAACAACAGTTCATAAAAAAAAATCAAACTGATATGCGCTGCATGAATTTGCAATAAATTGAATACTTTTGCCATCAAGGTGCATTGTAGAGCTGATATATGTCCGACATATAACGTTTTCATTGCAAGTGACTAAGCGCACGTACATGTTTCGTAATACAAAGATTTCAGAGTCAATGTCATATTAAGGTAAAGTTCTTGTAAATTAGATAAGACCGTCTTTTTGTGTTAGATCAATTATTTCCTGAACTTTACAACTTTAGGCTTCATTGAATTTTGTAGAAAATGAATCTTTTTATGGCATTCAGTTCTGAAATCACGTGTTAGTTAATGTTGACACCAATATTCAATTTCATATATATATTTTTTTTTAAAACGAGACTAAGAATATATTAATGACTGTTTTCTGAGAAACTGTAGGTAATTTGGGTACGTTTCAATTTGTCTATTATGGATAAAAAAATCTGACATTTGTTACTGGTTCTCTTCTTGACAGCTGAAGAACAGATACATACACTTTTCCAAAATCGCGAAATAACAAGTAAATCTGTGTTTATATAAGTAAAATGAACAAGTTAAACCGCATAAAGTTTCAGTCTTCACTCACAGTTTTTTCAATAATGTCCTATAGATGACACCCAAAAAAAGTGATAGCAAAAGGAAGAAAAATGAATATCATAGAAAATATTTTAAATATCTTGATACAAATGTATTTTAGACATTTGCGATACGGATCATTTAAAACCAAAGTAAGTCCAACGAAATGTACTGAACAATAACTATAGGGGCCTAATAAGTTTAATAACTACATGTATTTCGAAACTATTTTGCTCTTCACACATAAGTATAAATCAGTTAGTTTGACTTTCATTAGCATCTTAGCAATTGAAAATAGTACGACTTTCTAATAAAAGAAAAAATTGCAAATGCTAAACAGAATTTGCAACATTTTTAAAATCTGGTATCTTTAATTGGAAAGAAGTATGGTGTAGCAAAATTCATAAATCGGTAAAGAAACGAACTGAAAAAAAGTATAAATTTTGTAATTTGTCGTGAAATAAAATTTTATACGAAATAGGGTTTTATAATCTATTTATGGTCTTTTTAAAAGTGCATTGTAAATGAATTTCTATAGCCAGTCTACGTAAAAAGCCCAAGGAGGACGTTTTATCAATCTGATTAAAATCAGAACCTTTGATCAGCTCACAAAGATCGCTACACAAGAGTAAAACCCTTAAGTGATAAAAAAAACCACCTCACTACAGATACGGGACTTCTCAATGCTCACAGACTGAGAATAAAGATATGTCACGAGTTGAATATCATCGTATCAGTTTGATAGCACATTTTTCATTATTTTTATGCTATTAACTTTTCAAAAAAAAGTGTATGGAAGTTTTAACTGTAAGATTTTGTGTTCTCTCTTTTTCATTTTATTTGGCTTGCAATCCATTTCTCAGCCCCCCCCCCCCCAAAAAAAAATTTCTTAGTTAATTAAATTTTCTTATTAAATTAAAGGGAGAATATACATGTATTTATTCAAGTCATAGGGTCTTAGGATCACATTGTGATCACATCGAATATTCACCGACTTAAATCGTGCTCCTGCGAGGAAAATCAAATTCATAATTTGTCAGAGGATGCGACTCAATCATCGTGGTCCTTGGGTCTTTTTGTTTATTATATGCACTGTACTGTTCCATCATACATCTAAATACTTGTTACCAAATACAAATTATCAGGTTTCGATGTATATCTTCAACATGGTTACACTGTATTGGAAGAAAAAAAAATTACGTCACTCTGACCATGACGGCATACAAATGAATAACAATTTATTAAAAATACATGTATTTTTCGTAATAAAATATCACAGACCACATGGAAGTAGGAAATGACGTGTCCAAAAAGAACAAAATACCAATCAGAGGCCCATGGGCCACAATGCTTACCTGAGGCAACATTCTCTTCTAAACAATGAATGTGTAAATGTTAATCAAACCTCCTGCTGTCTTCTCATATTAAAGTTTATGATTTCAATCATAATATACAGCATATAAAGACTTAACAAGATTATTTTTAGAAATTATTACCCTGTTGCAGCAAAGTGGAGGGGATACAGTAACACGATTAAATGTATGGATGGATAAATGATTTGAACAAATTTGAAACTGCACTTATAAAGATTCTCACTCTATTTAACAACTGTACATCTGTATATGTTTTATTTTCCATCAGTCCATTCTTTTATCTGTCTCTATGAACAAATCCTTGCTACACTCATTCCTGGACAAGCCTGACACACATGACCCCCTGTCTGCCATCTTGTAAATATAAATACCATCCCTTGTGTCCACATGATTGGTATGTATTTGTAATTTCTTTATCTTCTTCTAGGTACTCCACACACAGGGAGGATTGTAACTGACCTAGAAAAGGGAGCACAGCCAGTAACTGACCAGTGTAACTGTACTGAAACAGGTGCTCTCTGTATCTGTGGTCTTTGTCCTTGTTTGAATGTTGAGTCCATGTCACCAGGAAGCCAACTGTAATATAAGAGTTATCCCCCTTTTATAAATTCGATTTTCTTCACATTTATGTGTAATGTCCAATCTACTGTACGTTTACTTACCTGACTTGTGAAGAAATTTTAGCCTCACTGGCAATCCTGGTAGTTGTAAGACTTTTGTTATGTTTATCTCCCTAAAACTACAAGTAATCAAGAACAATGTTATACAGAGACAAAATTATGACAAGCTCTTCAATTTCTAACAGATTTTTCCAAGTACTCCAAGTCTGTACATACCAAGGGAGGGGATTTAAAAATATGCATTTTTACCTACTGCCCAATTGTATTTCCTTTTGGGAATAAAAACTGTTTAAATTTAAGTACAAGTCTGACCTGTCTTGTGAGGTGCTCACTGTGAACAGAATCACACAGTTGTTAACAGTAAAGGCGCCAGTTTCTTCACTTTCTTCTGCGAGTACTTCGACATGAGCAAAACTTCCATTTAACTGTTCCTGATTTTCACTAATCTTAAAGGGAAGATCACTGCAATGCAAAATGAAAAGTAAAACTCAAAAGAGTCATTTTTTTCTAAATTACATGTATTTCAATTTCTTTCATCAAACTAATATATGCCAATTTTTAGTTGATGACAAAACAACATTGAAAAAATAAATTCCCTGTTCCATGTAATCAAGGTATACTTTTTTGAGTCACAATACACATGCAGAAAACCAGTATACTAGAAACAAATCTTTTTTTTTTCTTTGGCAGTATCTCCATGTGAAAATACACTGTAAATTACTTCTGTTTCATTTAACTTCTTAATGCATTCAATTTTTAAAAGAAAACGTCGTTGCAAATTTTTCAAAGGTATATTTTGAAAAAACTGAAGTTTGTAACAACCTAAAGAAACATGGTTCATTACTTTGGAAAGTACCAAGTGGTCACAATAAAAATCTAAACAATTCGATGGGTAACTTTAATTTTAATTTAACATTTATTAATGAATTAATGACCAAGGTGCTTCTATGCCCTTAATGAAACATACCTTTGCAATATTGAACTGTCAAGCAGAATTGTCATTGGTTTTAAACACTTCTTCCGCCCATCTGCAAACTTGATTCCATATTCATTAGTTAAAATTAAAATGTCCAACTGAACACCCACAAATTCACACTCCATGAAATCATCAAAGTATTTAATCCATCCATCATTTATCTCATGAAGTCCCAGCCTAATAATTAAAACAGCAAATCATTCATCAAAATATCAAGTTTGTTATTTTTCGGTACGTGACATGTACAATAAACATAATTATAGATGAGAAAAAAAAACAATTAAAATTAAATCATTCTCTACAGAAAATTTTTCCCAATCCACTAGCTTCCTTATTTTCTGCTATTACACTTCTAAACTCTTGACTATTAAAGACAGGACCACTACCGGTTACCTCGATACCCTTAACAAAAAAAAGAGAGACCGTTACAGGTTATTACAGGTTAGCTGGATGCCCTCTCACAATCTCACCCCCCCCCCCCCCTTCAACCCACAGCAACCAAAATCAGTTAAGAAGTAAAGTATCCTAAAGTAATTCTCATTTTATTTCACCCATTTTCTATAACCTGCTACGTAAATGATGATACAACCTTTTCTTGTTGAAGAAGATTAAGTTGTTTTCAATCAGTGTCATATTGAAACATGGGATGTGACGTGGAAAAGTTTTCTGTACTTCATGTCCTTCACAGTCGTAAATGGTACTCCTAGCAACAAATATTTATATTTGATTCAAATATATTAGATAACTATGATTCACTGGTAAAATTGTAATTCTTTTTAACACTCTTTCTATATATTTCTAACTGTCATATACAGTACTCGTTACGAATAATTTTTGTGAAATTTTGTGGTTCAGTAAAAATCACAAGAAATAGAATTACAAAATATTCAAACCCAAAGCTCTGATATTGCAAATTAAATGATTAAGACTGCAAACTCAGAAACTTGAATGTTACTGCACAAGAATCAAATTGCCAAAAGATTTGGATATGTACTTGTATAATGAAAAATTCACCTCGGTTTACATTACACACAACATGAAAAGAATTTAAATACATTACATTGAACATGAAAAGAATTTAAATTCTGGATGAATAAAGATCATGAAATCCTCCATTTTTTTTCACTTAAGACACTGTGTCCCATGAACCTACCCATCAGGCCTCTTCATACAAAAGTAAGAAGATCTGGAGAAAGTATATGCAATGTCATTCTCAAATGCTTCAAATATTACTGGATTCATGAAACTACTTCGGTCTTGGCATTTAATTATCTGTGAACAATAAAAAACACATAATTCTTTTTGATAGAAAATCCAACTGCATATGACTGTTTTCTAATGCTAACCTTAGCATGAATGTACAGGACATAAATACTGAGCACCAAGTGTGCAGAGTCGATTTGCTTACCTGTGAAGTCAATATATCTATGTATTGACCAGATCAAAGGGCTACAATTATAGTTTTATTACTTGGAACCAAAAACAAAAAAGATAATTTGTTATACTGGGTAAGTTTTAAAGACTTTAAAGCATTAAAAACACATCTTTTGGATTTTCCCTTTCTATACTTTCTACCTAAATTAAATTGAATCTATTATCGCATATTTTATCTAAATATCTTATTATATGTACACTTAAGTATATAGTCATCTTAAAAAAAATGATCCACATCGGAGGAGGGTATATGCTTTGACACCAAAAGATCAAATGAAGAAAAATATTCTCTCAATTTACACATCAATTTTCATCAATTTATGAACTTCAATTTAGAATGGCTATTAAACAGCATATTTTAAAAGAGTAACGAGTAAAATATATTATCGGTAAGTCAATAGATGGTATGACCAAGAGATAGTCGAGTACTCGAATACTCATTGATTTCCCAATACTGTAAGTTGTTTTTATTCCAGTGTTAAAATTTCACGATTTCTCAAAAAGTACCAATCGCTATGGTTTTAATTTCACGCTGCAGGAAATTAATTTAAATTTCGTATGAGCATTTAAACGTTTTTAAAAACTAATGATAGCATTCACTATGGGTTTAATTTCGCAGAAAAATGATGAATCGCGAACAAAGTGAAATTAAAACCATCGTGATTATTTGCCAATGTACAGTAATTAAATTTGAAAATTCTTTTTTTTTTTGAAGACAAACCTTGGGTCTCCCCGCCTCCAGCCCCAGAACAAAATAACAAAATATCATCCTGATGGTCTTACCAGATAAAAATATTTCACTGAAACTTGAACACTGAGCAAAACTGAGCTGGATCCAATCCTCTGGGGCTGACATAGAAACTTCATCTTGAATTCACACAGTTTATATCTTTTGACTTTATGTTTCCTCGTTCTTTTATCTGCCAAAGTTTCTTTAACAGTGGAAGCAGCTATCTTTACAACCTACAATTTACATGTATAATACACAATTTAAAAAAAAATCAAATACAAGAAAATCATGATAATTCAGGATTTTATAAAAGTTAAAACAGCCTTGTCAAAATCTGGAAGAAGTAACTCAGGTGCCCTAAAATGGATACATATAATAATTGTAATTAGGTACCAGTGTTACAATTCTTTTCTTTTTTTTTTTTTTTTTTTTTTTTTTTTTGAAAGTGGATATACACACAACATATTTCTGTTCTCACATAACTGGTTATAGTCTGCCCCAGCTTGCACCACTTTTCTATTAGACTAGTCACTCTATTAGACTAGGCACTTCTCTGAAATTCTCAGAACTACCAAATGCATATGCCGGTATAACAACACATACTTACATTACTGGTTATAATCCATCCCTGTTTGTACCACTTCTCTACTAGACTAGTTGCTTCTCTAACAATCTCAGCACCACCCAATGCATGTACAGATATATCAGCTACTGCTTTCTGGAAAAAGCAAACAAAACTGTTCTATTATGATGTCTACTATGATAATAAGCAAATGGGAAAATGTTAATGATGTGTTCACTTTGATGAGATCAATATACTTCCATTGGATAGTCAACATTTACTTTTCAAACAATCCTCTTGCATTCAATATTCTCATCATTTTTAAAGATGAATAAAATATGCAAATGCAGTGTGTTTAGCATTAAAAAAAAATTCTTATTGTGATTCAGAGCTCTTTAATTTGCCAACTTTCATTTGTAATATTTTTTTTTACCACAAATGCTAAATTAGCTGGGTGGAGTAACCATTTATAGACATTTTTTTTCTTATGACAAGTCACAGAAAAATTAATGGCTGACCAAGTGTGTCTCAAATTAGGGAATTGTAAAAAAATAAGAAACGTTTGTGATGCAGAAGCTTCACTAAAAAAGAATTATTTAACATGTACTGCTACCGAGTACCCCTAAATCTTGGAATAGTAATTATCAATCAAAAATTCATCCCACCATGCTTATGCAACTGTGGTAATTTGTGTATGGGCAAAAATACTTAAAAAATAACTGTTCATGCCAAAACATCTGCATTGAATCTCATATCTCAACAGTATACCCCACAGTTAACTTCCTGTTAATTTGTACTTATATCATCAGAGCACTAACTAAAGGATAAGTTAACTATCATTTAAGGACATTGGCAAGTCAGGGTTTTCCGGAGAAAAAAGGTTTAATACATGGGTTTTTTTGCTTATAAAATAGTGATTGAGAGTGATCTCCCGTGTAGAATTCTCTAAGCGGTGAAAACCAATAAAGCGTATGTCACAGAGGTAAACATAAGCACGTGTACCTCCTTCAACGGGTAGAATCATCTATACAGCAAGAAAGAAAAGCTGTAATGGCTTTGTTGTACATTGTATTCAGGGACAAAGAGCCAACAGGTCATTATTTACCGTAGTTATGCTCATTTTGCTGGAAAGGGCAAAGATGTGACATACGCTGAAAGGTAGGTCGACCATGCCGACTGAGAACAGTTCTTAGGTCATGTGAAGGAATTGGCATTTAGTAACTACGAATAAAAAGTAAAAATAAATCCATGACAATATTTTTATGACAATGTGTTTCAATTCAGTCAATTACATGATAAAACAATCAACCAGTCTCTTGACCAATTTTAGCTGTTAAGGGACGCAACTCAAAAATAATGATCGGTGCCGGTATATCCATGTCTTGTTTCTAAATATACATTTTTAGCCAAAATATCTAGAAGTCATAGGAAATGAAGATACAATAATGTATATAATACAAAAGCTGTATGAAATAAATGGGTTTTGAAGAAATATTATGGTGAAAAATTATGTAGGTCCCTTTTATCAACATTTTACATAGGAAATGCATTAAGAATTGTGAAAACACTGATTTGACAAAATCTAAAAAAGAATGATGGATTGGTAGGTAAAACGATCCAGAATATAGCCTGTTTAGTACATTTAAACCTACTCAAAAGTTCTTGAAAAATTCTATACGATAACCAGGAACCTTGCCAATGTCCTTAAATTTAATTACCTTTCAAGCAAATTGACTCTGATGATTAACTGTAACATCAAGTCCAAAAAAAAAAAAAAATCGACCTAAGATTATATCAGGACTTAAAATAAATTCAGCACGTCTTGCTGTTGGCAATTTGAAAAAAAAAATAAGTGAGAAAATATAAGTTGAGACATACTTGATACATATAGTCCTTCATTTTCTGAACCAGACTGAATTTGGCCCTTTGATTTCCAGGTCCACTCCAGTGAACATTGATCACTTGGTCAGTTTTAGGTGTGTTATTATATCTCCAATAAACAGAATTTCTAGACACTTTGAAAAAGTGATTCCCAGTGAGGTAGGCTGTAAAGTCCCCATCATTGCCATGTTGATGAAAAATTTCCACCACATTTGGTAAATGAGTGCATAATCGATCTATTGAATGCAAAGTGTTAGAATAATAGTCTAAAATTATTCAGAAAAAAAATCTGTTAAAATCCTAATGCCCCCACCCCAGCTGAAAAACAAATGAACAAGGCTACATGTACCCGTACTAAACTTACCACAATAATATTGTCTTGGTGTTGTAAAGGGGAACATCTTCCAAGCATTCAATCCAGGAGAATCGGGTTTAAAGGTCAGGGATCTGTATGATCAAATGTATATATATTTATGTAATACTACTAAATTACAGGCACAATTAATTATATTTTATAATTACGATTTTGGAACCATCATAAAAAGGATCAGCAATGGCAGACGTCATTTTGTTCAGTGCTATATACATATACATGTACATCATAACCTTATTTTTCTTTTGTATGGAAAAAAAAGAAACTTGCTTACTGTTTCAATGGTGTGTTCCCCAAACGTCTACTGGACAAAACAAACATCTAATTATCACACTCAATTAAGGGGCCCTCTAAGGGGTACAGGTAGAGTTGGTGTGTTCCCCGAACGGCTACTCGCCAAAAACAAGTAATTATCACACTCAATTAAGGGGTCCTCATAGGGGTACAGGTAGACTTACCTGTGTTAACCTGGATTAGCAATATTTGATAAATCAGATAAATCCATCCAATTCAAAGATTTTTTTTTTAATTTTCAGAATTCTGCTATATAAAAGAAAAAAAAAATAAATAGATAAAATTAAGATAAATCAGATAAATTCATAGATATGGCAAGAAATTGGTACTGCGTTTTTAGGTTATACTTTTGTACCCTAGGGTACATCCCTATATAATGTATGGACAAAAGGTTACAAAAAGGGTACGCTATATATTCCTACTGAAAATGAAAGTAGATATTCTGTAGTGCTTTTGTAAACTAAATTATAAAAACAAAGCTAAAGCACAAGGTACAGTGGTTACAAAGGGTACACTTGAGTACAGCTGGTTACAACACTATTATAAAGCTAGGGATACAAGGGTTTAGAAGTCTAGATTTGTCTAAGTTAAAAAATCAAACAAGAGAACTGAAGCACAGGGTACAGGAGTTACAAAGGGTACACTTGGGTACAGCTGGTTACAACACTATCCCTTACCAAAAATACTGCCTTCCTGCAAACATTTGCTGCAAGTCTGCAGCAAAAATTGCTGCAAACCTGCTGCAGACATTTCTGCAAGCTTGCGGCAATGAAGCTAAAGAAACCATGACAGCCTATACAAAGCTTCTGTGTTTGCAGCAAGTTTGCGGCAGGTATGCAGCAAGCTTGTTGCAAACATTTTACCATGCAAATGAGGTTTGCTGCAAGTCTGCAGCAAACATTGGGTTTTCCAAATATGGAGACCTTGCTGCAAGCTTGCAGCAAACATTGCTGCAAGCTTGCGGCAAACATTGCTGCTAACTTGCAGCAAGCAATATATTATTGTTTTCAGCACATTCCTGTTCAAAGATATACAGAATGCGAAAGAAATTCAAAAGATTCAGAGGGAAGCCAGCGGGACCATTGGACCTCCAGCAAAAAAGTATGCAACTATAAAGAGAAGATTGCAGTTACTGAAAGAAAGGTACCAGGATGGCATCATTGACCTTATGGCGTACACAGACTCTGCATCTGAACTACTTCACCTAGGATAGTGATCCCTTAGTTGTGACTAAATAAATTGTAAATATTGTAAATATGTGTGGTGTGAAAGTGAAACAGTGCTTTTTTTACTTATAATGAAATATGAAGTGTGTTAAACAGTGCTGTTAAACATTAGAACTTCAAGACAATTTAAAGTAAAAAATCTGTTTACTATGTTTTGTGCTTGTAAAATTATTTATTTAAAAATTTGTACACAATATATATATATATATTTAAACTTCTGCTAAAATAAAAAAAAAATTAATTACCAAATCCACTTTATTTTATTTTGTTTAAAGTAACTTAAATTCTGGCAGATTATTCATACAGGTAAGTCTACCTGTACCCCTAAGAGGGCCCCTTAATTGTGTGTGATAATTACTTGTTGTTTTTGGCGAGTAGCCGTTCGGGGAATAAGCCGTAGAGTTTACCTTTATGAACCTAGCTATACCTGCATTTATTAATTGGAGGAGGAATTCAACAGCAACATTTCATTTTTTTTTAAGGTATCTCTTTTGAAACATGGTTTCAACATGCAAAGATTGATAAAAGATCTTTATTATTTTACTTTTTTTTTCAGAAGAAATGTAAAAATCTTGAAGATTTTATTCATTGGTTAAAAAAACTGAAAATAATGTGTTTTATTTTCATAAATAATTTTTTTATCAAAAATGAAAAAGATTATCTGACTTTTCTTCACATGTTTTATAAGATATTTATATTGTGCATTTATTTACGGAAAACTTTGAACACTAAAGGATCTTATTTGCTATTAAAACAGTCTTTTCTGAAGAGATGTCTTAAAGATGTTTATAAAATTTCGGTGAACATGTAGGTAGCATTCTTTCTTATCCAGGAAAAATCTATCGATCATATGTCATTTTTCTTTTCAATATATCTTACGAAATGAGTTAAATAAATTTTGCTTGAGATACTCTTTAATTTAATCTAGTTTTAATCATGGGTTTAAAGCATTAATATTACATGTAAATATTTTATAACAATAAATGATTTCAAAATCTTCGTTAGTTTGCATCATGGAACTCAAATCTTAAAATAATTTATTTTGGTAAAACTTTATCAAAAAGCGTGAATACGATTGTTTAAAAAAAAAAACCTTTATTTTGAATTTTACCCCCCCCCCCCCCCCCCCCTTGAAATTGGATTTTAAGCAATACTTTTAAAAGTAAATTGTCAAAATTTTTTCTGCTTTTCTGCCCATTCCCCTATTACAAAAACGATAAGTTACGTTTCTGAACTTTGATGTAAATAAAACGTACACATATACATGTAGATATTGCTTTCAAACAAACAGGTCGCTTCGGTTAACCGTTTAAACAGTGGGGGAAGGGACAACCTCCCAAAGAAATCTGACAAGTTAAATTAAAAGAATTAAATAAAAAAATGAAAATCCTATTTTGTGGGTTTGTTTGTGGGGAGGGATGGACTTCCTCCAACAAAAAGTAATGGGGGCAGCATGTAAATGAAAATTTACATATGAAATCTAGAGGAAAAGACTATTCTTCAGGAAAAGTCTATACTCAGAAAAATGCAAATGCGATGTGAAAATTTTTCTCCTTGTTAAATATAGATTAAACATAGCTTAAAATGTGATATAAGTAATGCGTCAAGTGCCAAGTGTTAGGTCAAAAAAGTAATATTTTAAAATAATTCATAAACATGCTATCTATTAATTCACATGTGCAGTAATGTTTCTTTTACGAATTTTAAATGTATTTTAAATAAAAATATTTATCATAATTATATGACAAAATATTTGTTCATTGTCTTCAATTATAGCAAGCATTTATTAAATAAATCTGTGCTTTAGTACACAATTTTATCAGTAAATATTATTATTAATTTATTTAGACTACTTTGTTAAATCAAGGTAACGCAGGTAAACTCTACCTTGACCCCTTAGAGGGCCTCTTCGTTGAGTGTGATAATTAAATAGTTGTTTTAGTGAGTAGACGTTCGGGGAATAAACCGTTTCAATTTGACTAATGAAAAGTTAGTTCCAATGTAAAGATTGTTATGCTGAAACTTACCCTGTATGTGGGTTCAGTAGAATGTTTGCTATTGGTGGATATATCATAGAACAGTCCCCCGTGATGAAGCCATCTTTGGTCATTCTCAGCTTCAAATCAGGATTGGAGATGTCAAATCCACTACAGACTCTGAAGAAGTTTAATGTTTGCTCATTTTAAATAATTTTCATTAATATTAATACTGTAGATCACTTAAAATTTCCTTAAACCTTATTTTTTGTGATATTGTTATTTGGTATTTATAAGAGAGACAAAATTTTGATGAATTTTGGTCATTGCTTTATATTATCTTTACTAATACTAATAAACGTGAGAATGAAGTTTTCACGAGCAGACAGTCTCGCGTAATTACACAAAAATAAAGTTCTCATAAATAAAAAGTGATTTACAATAATTGAAATCCTGGGGAGAAGCTTTAAAAAAATTAAGTGTTTCAGAAATAATAATAATTTCAGCTAAAAACATATTGTACTATTCTAAAATTTCTGTTTATAACAAGTGACCTAGTGTCCAAGTGTCCTTTGAAAAAGAACTAGAATTGCCTCTACACATCTTGTCCATTGAGATTTAGATCACAAGTTCACTGCATGGATATGAAACAAAATCTTAAATTAGAGCACTCCTACTTTATCACTTTTGGAGCTATGTGTACAATTTGTATTTCTGCCAATCAGTTTGAACAGTTTACTATCACTTACTCATGATCATGATCAGTATAATACGAGGAATAGTGAAATTGACGTCTCCATATCACTTTCATAACTGGAACTCCACCTAATGAGATTAAGGGTTCGAATGGGTTCTGAACTGCCAACTGTAGGGGATCATAATTTTGGTGCACCAGTGCCAGCTTTCTCTCCCTAAGGATATCAACCATCTGCATTCCAGGAATAGATCTTCTAGCCTCTTCATCAACATCTGCATCTGGTCCCTGAAAACTGTTAATTAAAGGTAATTAATCTGCACTTTTTCTTATATATTATATCTTAGGAGTTGTTGGATGTCTTTTCAGTTGAGAGATCAAGTCAATTTCAATACATTGAGAATTAAACATGAAATTTCTTTGAATCTTGAAAATTGTTAAAAACTGTTAATTTACTTATCCTCTTTCAGTATATTTTGACTTAGGATATTTTTATTAAACCCAGCAATATACTACCATTTATAGAATTCCCCATAGCTGTTGTCTGAGGATTTAGAGTGCCCCATGATGGCATTCAAAAATGCAAGATGATACCAAATTTTGGGACTGTGCTTGCTGTATTCCCTTAAAACACATTTCATCATTTCCAAATGGTTTCCAACTACATTATGACAAGAAAAATTCATATTCAAATACATATAATGATTTTAAGGTAAATAATTTTTATCTAAAAAGCAGACAAAAATTATATTATTATCATTTTATTTTACTTTCTTCCATATTTTTTATTCAAAAGCCTATTTAAGAGTAATTAAACAAAAATTTCAGCTAAAGACCAAGTGTGAAGCACCTTACATTTGTAAGGAATACATCATAATGGGATTTTTTTCCCCAAATTATATTTTGTCCTTATGAAGTTTAAAAGTAATCTCATCCGATTTTGCACTGTCAGTTCATATTCTGCTATACTTCAAGGTTTTGATTGCTGTGAAAATCCCAATCTTATTTTTACAAAACAGCAACAAATGGTATAAATAAAGTGTGACCACAAAAATCCCCCCAAAAATGTTTTTTGTCTAAATGATGCACAAGTTAACAGGTTTACTTACCCTGTAGATGCCCTAAATGCAAACGCAGAAGTGACTCTGCTGTCTCCAGATAGAGATCGGAACACCTGCTGGTGAGACAAACTCTGAATACGGCTTTCCAGGATGACAGAAAGTTCCTTGCCTTGCTTTCAGTCAATACACTAAATATTAAATTACAATCTTGACAATCAAAAAAAAAAAAAAAAAGATGCATACATTCATCTGACAATTACTGAGAATATTACCTGGTAATGAGAAATGTATTCAGTATTGTATATACCTCAAACTTGATAGCAAAACAGGCACTTTTCCCCCCTAATACTTGTGTATCAAAATACTTTCATGCTTAGCTAAAAGCATAGATATTTGTGTATAATAATAAAAAAACAAACAGTACTTAACTCTATAAATTAGCTCAGAATAGCAACAATCAAACTGGCCATTCAAATTGCAAGTTTCAATTTTTGTGAATGACCATGTCCTCCTATTCATCTGGCAGGACAATAACTTTCAAGTTTCAAGAGAACGATGCACATTTTTTTTACCAGGTACATAATGTACAAAATATACCCCTGATTTTGGAGGTCTGCTATGAGTATCAAAGTCTGGCACTCGGTCATTTCACTCTCAGATGGCCTAGCCTGTATGAGACAATTCCCTAGGAGACGATACATTCTGACAGCTTTTTCTGGTTCATACTTCATGGCATACATCCTCCCTATTTCTCCAATGATGAATAGCTTTTCCTTATCTACATCATATTGTACACTGCATTTAAATACATATATGTGTGTATAAATAAATGTAAGTTTAAAAATTTAATAAATGATAATTGATTTTCTTCAAAAAATTACTGAAACATGCAAAGTTTGTTCTTCTGTTAAAGGAAAGAAAACTTATTTGCAGATTACATTCAGCAATAATGATTATTATGATTACAGCAATATAACCATGATAACAAAAAAACAAGAGGCCCATGGGCCACATCGCTCACCTGAGCACATTGGCTTGAATTTTAAACTACCTGATGATGCTTCCATGTCAATATAACAAATGGCTTTGTCGTACTTGAGAAGATTTTAAAAAAAATTTCCCATATATTCCTTTGTAAAAATTTGATCCCCCATTGTGGCTCCTCCCTACCCCCGGGGATCATGGTTTGAACAAACTTGAATCTACACTACTTGAGGATGCTTCCATATAAATATGACTCATCATGGCTTTGCTGCTCTTGAGAAGAAGATTTTTAAAGATTTTTCCTATATATTTCTATGTAAAACTTTGATCCTCCATTGTGACCCCACCCTACCCCCGGGGATCATGGTTTGAACAAACTTGAATCTACACTACCTGAGGATGCTTCCATATAAATATGACTCATCATGGCTTTGCTGTTCTTGAGAAGAAGATTTTTAAAGATTTTTCCTGTATATTTCTATGTAAAACTTTGATCCTCCATTGTGACCCGCCCTACCCCCGGGGATCATGATTTGAACAAACTTGAATCTGCACTACCTGAGGATGCTTTCATATAAATATGACTCATCATGGCTTTGCTGTTCTTGAGAAGAAGATTTTTAAAGATTTTTCCTATATATTTCTATGTAAAACTTTGATCCTCACTTGTGGCCCCGCCCTACCCCCGGGGGTCATGATTTGAACAAACTTGAATCTACACTAGCTGAGGATGCTTCCATATAAATATGACTCATCATGGCTTTGTTGTTCTTGAGAAGAAGATTTTTAAAGATTTTTCCTATATATTTCTATGTAAAACTTTGATCCTCCATTGTGGCCCCGCCCTACCCCCGGGGGTCATGGTTTGAACAAACTTGAATCTGCACTACCTGAGGATGCTTCCATATAAATATGACTCATCATGGCTTTGCTGTTCTTGAGAAGAAGATTTTTAAAGATTTTTCCTATATATTTCTATGTAAAACTTTGATCCTCCATTGTGGCCCCGCCCTACCCCCGGGGGTCATGATTTGAACAAACTTGAATCTACACTAGCTGAGGATGCTTCCATATAAATATGACTCATCATGGCTTTGCTGTTCTTGAGAAGAAGATTTTTAAAGATTTTTCCTATATATTTCTATGTAAAACTTTGATCCTCCATTGTGGCCCCGCCCTACCCCCGGGGGTCATGGTTTGAACAAACTTGAATCTGCACTACCTGAGGATGCTTCCATATAAATATGACTCATCATGGCTTTGCTGTTCTTGAGAAGAAGATTTTTAAAGATTTTTCCTATATATTTCTATGTAAAACTTTGATCCTCCATTGTGGCCCCGCCCTACCCCCGGGGGTCATGGTTTGAACAAACTTGAATCTGCACTACCTGAGGATGCTTCCATATAAATATAACTCATCATGGCTTTGCTGTTCTTGAGAAGAAGATTTTTAAAGATTTTTCCTATATATTTCTATGTAAAACTTTGATCCTCCATTGTGGCCCCGCCCTACCCCTGGGGGTCATGGTTTGAACAAATTTGAATCTGCACTACCTGAGGATGCTTCCATATAAATATGACTCATCATGGCTTTGCTGTTCTTGAGAAGAAGATTTTTAAAGATTTTTCCTATATATTTCTATGTAAAACTTTGATCCTCCATTGTGGCCCCGCCCTACCCCCCGGGGTCATGGTTTGAACAAACTTATATCTACACTACTTGAGGATGCTTCCATATAAATATGACTCATCATGGCTTTGCTGTTCTTGAGAAGAAGATTTTTAAAGATTTTTCCTATATATTTCTATGTAAAACTTTGATCCTCCATTGTGGCCCCGCCCTACCCCCGGGGCTCATGATTTGAACAAACTTGAATCTACACTACCTAAGGATGCTTCCACATGAGTTTTATCTTTCCTGGCCCTATGGTTCTTGAGAAGAAGATTTTTAAATGATGCCATTATTTTTTCACTAATTCCTAATTATCTCCCCTTGGAAGAAGGCATGGCCCTTCATTTGAACAAACTTGAATCCCCTTTACCCAAGGATACTTTGTGGCAAGTTTGGTTGAAATTGGCCCAGTGGTTCTTGAGAAGAAGTCGAAAATGTGAAAAGTTTACAGACAGACGGACAGACAGACGGACAGACAGACGGACGCCGGACAAAATGTGATCAGAAAAGCTCACTTGAGCTTTCAGCTCAGGTGAGCTAAAAATATTGAAAAAAGAAATTATCTAAAAATAGAAACAATTTGGCAATGGCATTTGTTCAGTGCAAAATCAGAAGGGCACTGAGTGTATATATACATGTACTTTTCTTAAATATAATTGTCAAATAAAAGCAAATTGTGAGACATAGATTTATTTACTGATGTTGTACCAGACAGAGATCCCTCTTTGTAAAGTTTGACAAAAGCCAGTAGGGATTCTCGGTACTTTCCTCGGGCCCAGTACACATAGGGGACACTTTTCTCAAAGTAAACTTCAGTCATATGAGGGTACCTGTAATCAAAATAAAAGAAGTAGTACCACTTGTCATTAAACATAGTGTAAAACACATTTTAATGTACTAAAGACTGATATAAGGTCTGACACACATTGTTTCAAAGTAGCAGTGGTACATATATATATCAATCATTATGTATATATTATGGATGGCAATTTCTAACTGGTTACTTGGTCAGAATGATGGTAACTTGTTGGAAAAGCTATAATTGGTAAGTCAGAAAAAATAAAAAATAAAATATGTGTAAATTTGAGTGCAATTTCTTAAAATTCAATTTAAAAAACTCTAAACGTTGATCAGTCAGCATTGAGACATATCTATTTAAACTAATTAGGAAGTTATTAACGTTTCCAGATTGAGATCGTGGGGGTAATTGGCCAGTTTGTGAAGTGTTAATTGTGAAGTTTAATTACTGTTATATCAGTCTTGCAGTTAACCAAATGGCAATTCAGTATTCGATTGCCATCCATAGTATATGTATCTACCTTATCTCATTATGACAAATTACATTATATATTAATACACATATTATTAAAGATGGATTGTTAAATAAAATTCACATGTACCTTGATTTCAAGAATTGATGTACAACTGCTAGCTGTTTGCTTTGGGTATTTCCAGTAACTCCCTTGGCTCTCAAAAATTTTCTCCCACTGTATCCTTTATCTTCAACATACTTAGAGGTATTTTCCATCATAAAATTCATCAATGTTGCATAGACTGTGGATAAAATAGCCCAAAAATTATAATACATGTATGTTCAATCATAAATTCATGTGTGCAATTTTTGGTAAATGGCTATGCTTGTTTGAAAAATGGCATCGATGCACGTAAATCAGTCATAATTTGACCTACCCAAATAATATTCCCTCTTATCATAGAAAATGTAATCATCATTTATCCTTTTGTCAAAACATGCCTCAATTAACACAGAATTGGCACTCTCTTCATCCTTCCAAAGGTTGCTTAAAAAGCAAAATGAAAACTTGATCCTGTCATCGTCTCTTGTATATCCCTTTTTCTTATCCTCAATCATCCAGGATTCAAAGGCTGACACATTCTGCTGAAGCCATAAAAGATAAGATTTAGTAAGCGAATATTGTAAATTGGAAGACAAAATGGTTTGTCTCATCCCAACAGGAAACCATGAGGATTTTATGAATTTTTTTATCTGATGACGTTTCCGATAAAGATGGATCTTCCTCATGCACAAGTCTACCAGGCTTGGAATATCTGACACAGTTGGAGCAGATCCAGACTCTACAAAATCTGGCAGCTTATCATCCTCCTCATTTTGGCACACACTCAGTTCACCAAAAAGTTGTTTTATCATGCTTTGCTCTGTTTTTGTCCTTTGTTTGCTCCGTTTTTTCTTTGGGCTCCTTTTGTTTGCCTTGCGTGAGTCTGTCTTTGGAACTTTCTCTTCCTTTTTTTGCAGCTCCAATTCATCATCACTAGGTGATGCCTCTTCCTTTTGTATTTCTATGTCATCATCACTAGCTAAACAGGAACTACTTCCTTCTGATTCTGGAAGTTCTCTGTCACTGTCAGATGTGAAATCACTGTCCAGCAGACTCCACGCTGACGATGCTGGTGTTGTTGCAAAATCTTCACCTGCTGCCAGTTCTATTTCTGTATCATGTGCCTTTGGCATTTCTACAAAACTAAACTCAGAGTCATGATCACTTCCATCTAGTGACAAGTCATCAAGAATAAAGTCAGCTAGATCTAAATCTTTCAGAGACAGAGTGACATTTTTTGACTGGTCTTCCCCTGAGAATGAGAGTTGTAAGGAGGATCTGAATTCTTCTCCTGCACAGAGCTCCTCACTTTTCATTGAAGATCTTTCTCCTTCTCTTTCATCATATGCATCATTTGTAGCATCAACAACCTCAAAATCATCTGCTGATGAATCCATTATTTGGTTCTATACTTCTGAAATATATCAACATTAATTTATGCAGTGGTTATAAGTTATTTATACCTGTAATGGAATTTAATACAGTAAAAATGAAAGCTCTTAGAGTACATAATTCTGACTTTATACCATATCTAATACAATTTATGAGCTGAAACTGTAAAAACATTTCACCTTGTTCACTATCACCAATCCCTAAAATTTCTATGGACATGAACGGTAAGTAAAGCTTGGGGTGCTATGACACACAACATGGATTTTAGTAGGGGTGTAACAAAATACCAATATACAAGTATACTACAATTCACAAAAAATCGTACTTTATCATGGTACAAAAACGTATACCTGTGTATCATGATATATAAGATCTTAAGCAATTCATATATTACTTCTTTTAAACTTAACTCAATAAATGTGATGTTTTTATTCGCTTAAGTGTTACATTATGCATTTGTGAACTTTATGAAATAATCTAAAAAAAATTTCCCTTTCACATTGTAACAGAGAGTTTCCCATTTAGTAACAGATACTTACAAATGAAAGGTGAAACATCGCAATACGTATCATGATACAATCCCAGTGCAGTGTATCTATTCTCTATTGAGAAGTTGATGGCTCGTTTTAATACTCCCCCTCAAGAGGGGGAGTATTAAAACGAGCCATCAACTTCTCAATAGAGAATACAGTGTATCATGATACATCAAGATACACTCTAACCATATCGTTATACCTCAAGACTTTTGTATGTAACTTTCTCTTTTTAATTGGAGCTTTTGCAGCATATCATCAAAGACAAAGGCTAACAAATTTATAAGAGGAATACATATATTGTAATCACTTATTTTGGTGAAATCTTGGTCAGATCATGTAGCTTACTTGATCAGCTGTTGATTCTGAATGTCGTGTCAGGTCAAACGGTTCTTGTCAAATACGACATTATGTATCTTTCACTCTTTGTGATTGTTCGTCCCATTCTAATAGAAATGCAAAATAATATCAAGCTGTCAACAAAAGGCTGAGTTTTTGTAAAGTGTAAAATACTGAGACGTCTGAGTTTATTGCGCAAACGGACATTCTATATTTAGAGGTCGCGTCATCAAACTAACACTAACTAATTGATGTGAGGATCACGTGACCTGGTGTACACATTGCGCAAACGGAAGCAATTAGCAATTGTTTACATGCAAGCGTTTCCTGGACCAAGATTTGTATATTATAATATTCAAAATCGAAATAATCGTATCGTTCCGGTTAAAATAATTTTGGTTCATGGTACCAACTGATCCTTCGTAAAGCTTTAGTAATATTACAATACATGTACATGGCCATTTGTCATTTGTTTGTTCTTATTTTTCCTACCTTACATGTAATTTAAACAACATTTTGCATGTTCTAACATAAATTTTATTTTTTTTAAAAAACTGGGAAAAAAAACAACAACAAAATAAAAAAAAAAACAAAACAAAAAATCCCACACTTATATCATTATGCATAGAATGTCAGTTGAGATTCTTCAATCACATCGATTAATGAAAATTTTGGTAAGGCATACTTCCATAATGTTTTCAAGTTTTCTTTAATTTATAATAATAAAAAAAACTTTCCCTATAGCCTAGGAATATACATACAATCAGAGACATAAATATAATTTTTGTCTCATATAATTTCTTTTAAATTTATAATAACATACCAGGTACTTTATGTAAACCTAGCTGATAATTTCTTAAAACTCATATTTCTAGTTTTTAAAAAAAGTTTAAATTGTATAAAATCCATCAAATCTAGCAACAGACTTGGAACAAAAAAAAGATCTTTGGCCATATAGATCTTGATCTAGTTCAAAAGATTGAGGGAAAAGCCTCTAAAACTACCTTCCCGTAAGTGATTTAACAGCAGATTTCTGTAAATTATGAGAATTGCACTAATGTCCATTAATTCAAGAACAAAGGTTTTATTTTCATCAGTTTATTTTTATCTAAACAAGAATTGTGGGTGAATGCAACATGAAAGTCATGTAGACATAATGACTTTTCTGTAAATGCATACACTTCATTTTTCATGTATTTACAAAATACAACAGAACCGACGAATATTCATCAGTGCTTTGCATTGTATCAAACACTGAAAGGTACAACTCACATGTCATGGAAAGGCAATTACAGTAAATTTACCTACAAATTATGCAACAAATTATTTTATAACTTAAAAACATAAAAAATTTCAATGTAACTCCATGTGCACGTTAACAGTAGTTGATAAATATTTGTAAAAGACAGCAGGGTTTGACTGATTATTTTCAATGGCAACACTTGTAAAATAAGTTATAAAAGTACTTTAAAATGGCATGAAGTTCTTGTTTATTTAAATCACAAATCTATGAATTTTAAACTAGTCAAAAAAAAAATAATTATGATAATTCAAATTAAAATAATAGAACAAGCTACACAGAGAACTTTTAGAGAATAATTGTAATGTAACCTATACCTGCTAAATCTTTAATTGGAAAATAAGCCAACATTTCATGTTTAGGATCAGCCATGTTTTTATGCTATCAATTTGCCACAAGACTGTGGTAACTATTTCTGTTTTCATTATACACATACTACACTAAATACACGTACTAAAATCTTGTCTTTCATTTATCTTTGATCAACAAAATATTCACACATTCACACTCACACCCTTCCAAAACTTGCTTTAAGTTCAAAAATGTAGATACAAAAAGTAACAAAATAAATTTAAAAGCAAACAGCATACAGTTCTAACAGAGATAAAACTTGTGTCAATGAAGTCTACACTTTTTACAAACAATACAGGTACACAAACTACAGGAATCAGAAAATCACATATTGGTAACTATAACCAGGAATATTCACTGTCATTTTAACATTAATGCACCATTTGTCCATAACACTGAACTTTATCAGTTTTTCATTCACAGCAAATATGTATGTTTTGTGAAAATCTAGAACATGATCTGTTACTAGATGTGAAAGCACTTTTCTGTTCCAACAACTCAATTAAAAATCTACCCTCACTGAAGAAATCACAGATTATCACAGATCTTTGCTCATCCTGAAAAAAAAACAAACAAAATATAACTGGTAATAGGCAAGGAAGCTGGAGACAAAATGTGAAAATTTAATAAATATAATTCTATTTGAAAATATTCAAAAATGAATTTAAACTAGCCCATGAAATAGCATTTTACATAAAAGGTCCTTATTTCTAACAAAACAAATTATCTGAAGATGAATATAAAAGCAACTAAAATATCATTGTGATAAAAAGAGGAATTTCCAGAAGTAGCTCTGTCTGAGATTCTTACATTTGCTGGTCATTCTACTCCATGAGCAAATATCATGACCAGCCCAGGCTCCATTATCAAGTCTTCAGGCATGTGTTCATTTTCACATGCCATCACCACTACGGCTTGTTTACCTAAAATGGAATTTCAAAATAAAGTCAGGCTGATATTGTATCATGATCACTGATACACACAACATGCTCTCGATTCCATCTCTTTGGCTTTAAAGAATCCTTTAACAATCATTGATGGAAAGAAATGTTTTGTGTTCAGTGCAGAGAAAACTATAGTTTGTAAAGAATTACACATTTTTCTGCAAAAATGATTTTGTCCAAATGATCTTCAGTCAGGGTAATGACAAATCCTTTGATCATAGGAACATATGTGTTAAATATCTCTAGGCTGCAGAGTTATGACAAATATACAGATGAAGTGGAAAGACTTAAGTTGTATACATGTAATGTATAATATATCCTTAAATCATTTTTTTGTAAAATTATTTTATTGTTCACAAAATGTGGATTTTAAAAAAAACACAATTGCATCATGATAGAAATATATACATATAATTGACATTAATTAATAACAAATTCAAAAATTACAATGCCAACATCTGATCACAAACCTGGAATTCTTTTCGTAACGTAATTTTCATACTGCCTCCTATTCAGTTGTCTGGTTTCCAAAGTACTAAGTCCATGTGGCCACCTTCGTTCATGTGCATTCTCCATGAGTTCATTAACTATGTGGGGAGGGGAACCACTGTCAATCAGGGCTCTCTTAATGACTGCCTGTAACACTGCATCAGGTGTAGAGATCATACCGCCCCATCGTGTTACTCGGGCAGTTTGTAAACTATTCACCCATCTACAAAATGTTAAAAAAAATATAAACGAATTGAAATTTTAAATGACATTTTTTTCAAATGTTCACGAATAAAAAAAATCTGTCACAGTGACTTTTACTTAGATTATCTTTTAACTTTTAAACAAAATCCTTTTTCATATTCAGTCAAACCTTGTTATCTTGAACTCGATGAGAGAAAAAAAAACTTTGAGATATCCCAGGATTCAAGATATAAGGGGTAAATACTTAAAGAATAAGTGGTTGGAACTTCCAAACCACTTTGACATATCCATGGCATTTGAGACATCTGTGTTTGAGATTTGAGATACCTTAGTTCAACTGTATATATATATATATATATATATATATGTATATATATATATATATATATATATATATATATATATATATATATATATATATATATCACATTTTTTGCTTTGCATCAATTATTTAAACATTATTTAACATTATTGTTTAAACATACCGTAACAGAACATTCCATCCATACCCAAGTTCTATTTACCGGTAATACTAATAATAGTGTATATTATTTCATGAAGGTGGACTTTTGAATACTTCCCATTTAGAATATCCCTCAAAGGCATTATTGATAAAAGCTAAGCTGTACTGAGATTGTTCATTCTGCCTTACCTTAGAACATCAGCATTTTCCATCTCTGACTGTATTTCTCTCATTCTTGGATTAGATACTCTCATAGATCGCATGTATTCCTAATAGAAAACTCATTATAGTTAGAGATATGTACTGATATTATAACTTTCCTTTGAGACCAATTTCAGTCAAAATTCAAGAAAATATCTGAACACTGTTTAATATGTAATTTAAAGGCAGTTATTCTAAAACAAGTAGACTATCCAGACACTTCTGAATCTATAAAATACTAGTATCTATAATGAAACCATATAAGAGACTCACTTTTAACAACTGAAGTTCCCTCTTTTGTTCACTTATATTTAATTTGTGTTCTGTAATTTCTGTCTGCATTTCTGTGATTCTTGATGCCTGCTGTTGAACCAGATTCCTCAGTTCACGAACACAATTGTGATCCTGTGCATAAAAATAGCTGCCTGTTAACAAACCTCATTTTCAAGCACTAGGGACTGCTAATGCAATGAAAGCATGCATATGTAAGCAAACCTTTAATTCATCCTTAGGGACAACAATACCACACCCACTTTCACAATGTACAGGCTTCTTTGGGTTATGTTCACATTCCTGTATGTGTGCCGACAACATGTCTAATTTGACTATGGCTGTGCAACCATAGGTAGCATTATCGCAGGCAATCTGCAGACGAGAGAGAAGATTTCTGAGGATCCGGGGTACAGGCTTTAGCTGGTTGGGGGTGATGGGATTCCTGTCCACAGGACATGTGGGCTGCCTAGTTAACCACTCCTGTATACATGCTCCACAAAAAGCATGCTCACACTGGGGGGCCTGAAAAGACATGGTGTCAGGAAAGTACATGTAATACAGAAAAGCTCCATAAGTGCTCAACAATTGTACACAATAGAATTTTTTGTAAAATGCATCAAAAAACAATTCTGGATCTTTTCACTTAAAAGGCTAAAGGTGGGTCAGCAATTTTTTTCCATAACGTAATACCTCTGTTTTATAAATTCCATAAAAGAATTTTGTGCTCATCAGACTGAATGGATTCTTTTACATACCTGTAAAGGCTCTTCAAGAACTCCACTACATATGGGACAAACAAGTTCTTCATCAACATCACCTTGAAAGCGATTGAGTTCATAACCCATCTTGCCTGAAATAAGTTTACACGATGAGGTTCTATTAATATGTACACTAAGAACTCTTTCTAAAACTTTGAAGAAAAAATATAACAGTTTGTATTAGAAATCATTATTCAAAATGTGCTAAATTTATGTGAATTGAATAAGCAAATCTTTCTAAAATTTTATGTTACGAATTTGTAAAAAATGATGGAGGCATTGATATACAGCCATCTAAAAATGAATGAGTTCCATAATAGTTTATTTTTGATTATTTTTTTATTCATCTTGAATGAATAAAACCAGGTTCAGCATTTGATCAAGCATATAGACCTTTATTAGTTATGTTCATCAACCTGTTGACCTGTATAATGTGCATTGTCCTAAATATCACATGCTCGCCTATATCAAGCAACAATAAACTTGGTGATTATTTCATTCAAACTAGAATTGCTTAATAGAACCTATCTCCACCCCAAAAAGTGGCACAATCAAATCACACATTTCTTAAAGTGTTCACAGATGCACCACATCTGCAACTTTTGTTTGTATATCCCTTAAGATAACTTTAAGATAGAAAGGGATAAAGGATTTGAATACTGAGCTTAGCATATCCACAGATTACAGACACTCAGAGAGACCAATACACAGATGGATAAATGCAGTGATTCCAGTATCCTTCTCCCCATGAAATTTTTAGAAAGGGGGGGGGGTGCATAAAAATTAGTCTCATGATAACTCTAATTCAAGGATCATTGTCTTTTGGAAACCAATAATATAACAACATTCTGTAGATGTCAATATAGCTTTCTAACCTCTATCAGAGGGGCATTTTATCCATCCTGTTCCCTATTACACATATATTAAATACAAGAGAAGAATGGAAAGTAGCACACGATCTGATAAACAAATTCAAATAACACCAAGTTATCTTTTGAAGCCTGCAGTTTCAAAACTCTGAGCAATCTGAGGTTCTGTTTGGACAAAAACTATTTACACTGGACATATTTGGATTATTTTAGCCTTACTAAGTTCTAGGACATCATTTGTGACATTGGAAATAGGGATTGTGTAACTAATCACTACTAAGGTGCTTACTTTCTAACAAATCTTGTGCTACTTTCAATTCTCCCCTTGTGTACTTATTCACAGGTGTTGGCAATTTTATCAATAAAGTGAAAATAAATGAGATATAGGAATGAATCCTACCTGTGAGCTTAGTGATCGTAACACTCGCCCTTCAATCCTAGCTGTAAGCTTTGTGAGCATAGTGCTTGCTACGCTCCCAAAGCTCACAGGTAGGATTCATGCCTGTTTCTCATTTATTTTCACTTTATATTGACCTGTTATTTGTTAGATATGTGTACAGAGAACAGAACAGATAAGATGCCCCTGTGCTTCTACATCTCTATCAAGATTTTCCAGCATAAAGCATAAATGAATCCCAATAAGCAATATCATGTTTTCTTTTCTAAAATAAATGGTCAGTTGTCAAGTAAAGTTGATATACCAGGTAACACATGTCACAAAATTTGCAATAAAAGTGTCAGTATTGAGCTAATATATTTTGCATTGTGAAAATTAGACATTAACTTAATTTAATGACCGCTGCGTACGCTGTTATAAAAACATATTGCATTTCACCTCTATTTTGTGATCTCATTCATAACGAATTTCCCACATCTTCAACATTTTCATTTTCTCAAAATTCCGAAAATGACCACTTCCTCTTTCACGTTACACATGCGCGAATGGTCTAATGAACGAAAAATGCTTATCTAAAAAAAATAAATAAACAAAATGAAAATTATGCATTAAAATTAATATTGCATTCATAATCCTTGATTACTTTTATAAATGAATAAAAAGGGTGCATCCATAAAATTATAATGAAGTTAATTAACTTTTAGATTTAAAGCTCTTCCATCGACTTTGTGGCGTATTTAGTAAAACTTGAAATAGCCTGTAGCCATAATCACCAAAACGCTTAACTTCAATAAATTCGGACAATAGCTAATCAAGCACATATGTTACATCGAGCGTTTCCAAAACATGATATTTCAAGTCTAAACAATATTGCACGTCTGGGCATTGCGCAAATATTTTAGATCATATTCTAAGGATAAAGCTTACAAGCGACAGGTATTTCTCGTTTCATTTTTTTTTAAAGAAAAACAACATGTTATCTGACTTGGTAAAAGATAGATAAAATTTACCTTAGCTTCTAATTATATTCTGGCATTTTTTATTTTCGACCTATTTTATTATTTAGATGTTATCTTTGATTTATTGCAAACTTTTAAAGATATGAAAAAATAAAGGCTCTTAAAGGTTATATACATGCGTCTGTTAATGAAATAATATTTAAAAAAATTACAGCTTTATCAGTTTATGTTCACTTTTATATGTATTTATATTTCATCATATTAGGAGGGTGCTGTTTTCTTTGCAAAAATAAAAGTGTATTCTGTTCTCGACCTAAATAAATTGTGTCTTTCAGTAAGGACTTTGAATATCTGGAGGATATTTCATACAGTGAAAAAAATACAATCAAATGCCTTCAATAAAAACATTATATAAATTGCATATTTTGGTTACAGACAATTTTATTCATTCACTGTACTTTCCCCTTAGTGGATGTGCACTTTAAAAATCTTCAATGAAATCATTTGCACATTTCAATAAAATTCTGGAAAAAAATGTCCACATCTATAGAGAAAAAATTCATTTGATCCACCTCTTTCATTGTTATATTCAAATAAATATGAAATTGTACAAAAATGCAGACTTGCATCAACATAGCAGAAAGTGTAAATCCATATGTTCCTTCGGAGTAATTATCTAAACCATGGAGTTTCAATGAGTTCAGTTGTATGGACATGCAATGAGCATTTTGATAAGTGATAATTGTTTCTGTCCAGTTAAAGGTTAATTAATGAGTTCATTGTACGTTGTAAGTAGGTAAAGAATGACCAGGTTTATGTTTTTTTAGAGCAGTTTTGACCAGATAATGTTTTTTAGAGCAGGTTAAAGTTTCAGGAGCAGGTCTCATTTCCAAGTAACTATTTGTCCTATATTATAAAGTAACTGTAATTATATTGACCAAACTTGCATGGATGAATGATACATCTAGGGATGCACACTACCAGAGTTGCTTCAGATGCTGGATCTGACCTACATATTCTGGATGAGTGATCAGGTTAAAGGTTTTGGAGCAGGTTCATTCTAAAGAAACTGTAAGCCCTATGTTGACCAAACTTGCATGGATGATACATCTAGGGATACACACTACTTGACTTGCTTCGGATGCTGGATCTGACCTACATTCTCCGGATGAGTGACCAGATTAAAGGTTTTGGAGCAGGTTCATTCCAAAATAATTATAAGCCCTACCTGGACCAAACTTGCATTGTGATACATCTAAAACTTCCAGAGTTGCTTCGGATGCTGAATTTGACCTACATTTTCAATGTATAAAGCAGGAAGTGGAATAAATATAAACTCTGGACAAAATTTTTATACAAAAAATCTGTTTATATACTGGAACCTTTTGATCTAGAACTTGGTTCAAAGCCACAGCAGACCCTTTGTAAGGATACTCTTTAGGTGGCATTTAAACAGATTGGGACAAGGGGAGAGAATGTAGTCAGGGCAAGGTTTCTTTTGACAACGATCTTTTAGATAGCACTCCTACACAAACACACTGTTGGTAAATTATGAACGAAAATGACAATAAAGAAAAGAAAATCTTACCGGATAATTTCAGAGAAACAAAATGATCACTTGAAGAGATGGGCACCAAAGAATTAACTGTTTACTATGGGGTTACACACCAGAAATATCGACTTTAATAAGTTAGTTTCTTAAAGATTTTAAGAAAGGTTGTACAAAAAAGACTGCTTTAGAGTTGAAGGTATAGTGGACAGAAATTAGTTCATTCAAATTGTTATAATCTAATTTCTTTTAATTTAGACATGGCAAGTGTTGAGACACCAATCCAGGAAGAAAATATTGCTGTGGAGAAATCAAACATTTCTAGTAACGACTTAAACCAAGAAAATGAAAATCCCAACATACCTGTGAAAGTTCCTGAAAATCAATCCATACCACTGCAAGAAATATCCTCAGGGGCACAGAAAAGTGAAAGCTCAGTTAATACTGCATTCTCCATGGATGATGAAGAAATTCATGAATGCATTCCACCAGTAACACACCATGATATTATTCCTGAACTTCTCTTGAGAGCAGAAACAAAAGACCAAGCTCCACAGTACTCTAGATTTGGGTTAGTTTTTTTTTTCATATTTCACATATTCATTTTTAAATTAGTAAAAACTTCTGTACATTTTTAAGTTCATTTTTATTACAGTAAAACTTTGTTTTCTTGAACCCAATGTGACCGAGAAAAAACTTAGATTGTAAATGTTAAATTTGTAAATGTAATTAGTAAAGAAATTCTGGATATAAAATTAGATAGTTCTGTAAACATACATTAATAAGCACACTCAAAATTTAATGCGATTGTCCTCTTCAACTGATTAGCGCACTCAAAAATTAGCATGTTAGAGTTTTTAGCAATGGCATGCATTAATTTTAATCATATATTAGCGTGTACATAAATTAGTGGACAAGAAGCAGCGTGAAAGACGCAAAAAATGTTTACCTCTAAAATAAGTTTGTTTACAGTAACTTTTAATGAATTCAATCTTGGTATTTTGGAATAAAAATTCTTTCCCTGTTCCAGAACTCTGATAGATAGAGCAAACCAATGGTTAAAGGAGAACCCACGTCTGATGTTGTGGAAATGTGAAACAGTTGTCTTTAAGCTTGGAATAGAGGAAAACATTGATACAGATCATGTTTACTACTTGGAATCTGCTTATGGCTCTAATATATTCCTTGCAGGTCTAAGGTCAGTTAGTTGATGTAACAAAACTTATTAATGTTGTTGTGGTTTAGGTCAGTGAAACAATTTTACATGAAAGTGATGTTTATTTCAAATAAAAAGCACCAGGGCTATTTATAAGGAGTAAAGTGTTATTACGTACTTTAAATTAGTATAACTCTAAGTGATATATGTGATTTTTTATTTATATATGTATATTAAATAAATTTTTATTGTCATGATTACAAAAATAAGTTTTAAATTATTTGCTTAGGCAACTAATATAATCTTCATCTGAACTAGACATGTTCTTTATTTAAAAGACTATGGCTTGTACCAAGACCATCCCCAGACATTCCAGTGGAAGAAATTGGATACACTTCTGCTTTACCAGGACGGCAAACAGCAATAATGCAGGGACAGTACGAATCCCGTATCAATGTGTCTGAAGGGGTTAAGCTCACGGATATGATTGGAAATTTAAACAAACAGATAATGAAGAACCCTCTACCAGGTAAGAGCAAATACAGTTACAGGGATGAAATATATATACAGTTGAACTTCGGTATCTCGAACACGGATATCTCTAATACCATGGATATGTCAAAGTGATTGGGAAGTCCTAACCACATATTTCTTAAGTATTTTACCCTCAATATCTCGAACCCTCAGATATCTCGAAGTTTTTTCTCGGTCCCATCGAGTTCGAGATAACCAGGTTAGACTGTATGTCCAATAAACTGTCAATAGTAAACATATGTTTTAAGGTTCCTCATCCCTTTGTTCACTCTGACCACCCCTTTTTTCCGAAAGAAGTCTAAATATGATTTTAATATAGTTAAATGCACAAAATTTTAGTACACTTTGTGGAGCAAAATTTGACAGAATTTTTTTTTGAACTTGACAGTTTTTTTTAAGGAATTATAGTCATTAATTCAAATGAGAGTTATTTCTCTTATTAAAGTGTCAGTGAACCTTAAAAAAATTTTGGCAACATTTTTTTCCCATTTAAACAAAATATTCCATGCATGCATATGAATTGGCATGGTGATTTACGAAGAACATAGTTTAAATTTTAAAAAAAAAAAAATTTTTTTTTTTAAATTTAAACAGGAAATATTTTAAATGTGGAGACTGTGGTGTATAGAGTTTCGACAGACTTTGGTGAACTACTGTCTGTGGATCCAGATGAAACCTGTTGGGCAGAGCATGGACAGAAGACTAGAACCGTTGTCCATGGATTAAGGATTTACTACATCAAAGGAAAGCCACAATATGTCACTATTGGTAAGTAATAAATGATTTCTGTGTGTGCTTTAAAACTGATAGAAGATTACTTATTTTCAGTATGCAAGTATAAATACAGTATGCACAGTACTCACTGCAAAACTTAAAAATATTTTTGCTTGAATTTAATTTAATGGATCAGCTAGTAGTAAAAAAAAAACATGTTTTGGATTTTTTTTCGCAATGCTATGATAATGTACTGTTACACTGAATAAAAATTGTATAGAAGCATTAATTTGGTACAAGGGGGATAATATGTGAAAGGTTTTTTAGCTCACCTCGACGAAGTCGAAATGAGCTTATGCTATACCCCCGGCATTGGCGTCGGCATTAGTGTCAGCGTCCCAGTTAAAGTTTTAGGAGCAAGTCCATTCCCAAGTAACTATAAGCCCTACTTGGACCAAACTTGCATGGATGATGCATCTAGGGATGGACACTACCACACTTGCTTCGGATGCTGGATCTGACCTAGATTTTACAGATGAGTGATCAGGTTAATGTTTTTGGAGCAGATCTATTCCCAAGTAACTATAAGCCCTACCTGGACCAAACTTGCATGGATGATGCATCTAGGGATGGACACTACCACACTTGCTTCGGATGCTGGATCTGACCTAGATATCCAGATGAGTGACGAGGTTAAAGTTTTTGGAGCAGGTCTATTCCCAAGTAACTATAAGCCCTACCTGGACCAAACTTGCATGGATGATACATCTAGGGATGGATACTACCACATTTGCCTTGGATTCTGGATCTGACCTAGATTTTCCAGATGAGTGACCAGGTAAAAGTTTTTGGAGTGATCAGGTTAATGTTTTTGGAGCAGATCTATTCCCAAGTAACTATAAGCCCTACCTGGACCAAACTTGCATGGATGATGCATCTAGGGATGGACACTACCACACTTGCTTCGGATGCTGGATCTGACCTCGATTTTCCAGATGAGTGACGAGGTTAAAGTTTTTGGAGCAGGTCTATTCCCAAGTAACTATAAGCCCTACCTGGACCAAACTTGCATGGATGATGCATCTAGGGATGGATACTACCACATTTGCCGTGGATGCTGGATCTGACCTAGATTTTACAGATGAGTGATCAGGTTAATGTTTTTGGAGCAGATCTATTCCCAAGTAACTATAAGCCCTACCTGGACCAAACTTGCATGGATGATGCATCTAGGGATGGACACTACCACACTTGCTTCGGATGCTGGATCTGACCTAGATTTTCCAGATGAGTGACGAGGTTAAAGTTTTTGGAGCAGGTCTATTCCCAAGTAACTATAAGCCTTACCTGAACCAAACTTGCATGGATGATGCATCTAGGGATGGACACTACCACACTTGCTTCAGATGCTGAATCTGACCTAGATTTTCCAGATGAGTGAATTTTAGCCATATTTTAATCAAATTAGCATGGATGATGTATCTTATGATGGACACTTTCAGACTTGTTTTGGATTCTGAATCTGACCTACATTTTCCAGATAAATGACAAAGGTAATATTTAGGAGTAGCTATATAATATTATGGCATGTTATGATTAAACTTGCATGGATGATGCATCTAAGGATGGTAACTTCCAGACCAAAATTTTCTTGATTAGTAAACAGGTTAAAAGTTTTTTGAGTAGGTCTATTTCCAGATAACTATAAGTCCGTCTTAAACCAAACTTGTATAGATATTGATCTTTGGATGAACACTAACTAGAAAAAATATGATGTGAGATTTGCCTTACTTATAGATAACCTTTGTCGAGGTGAGCTTCGTAATCTTTGATTACCTATGTTTTAATCAGGTATTTAGCATAAATTCTCTCCATGCATGAACCACTTATCAGAATATTATTTGAGAAAATATTATAATTCTACATGTGCATATCTTGTTTTCATTTACTTTGTGAAACTAGCCATTTTAAGAAAAAAATATGTTTTTTTAGGTTTCCATGATGAACAACCAGACATTGCTGATAATTCCTTTGGAACATCAATTAAGTTTTTGCCTTTCAGAAGGGTAGTGGGGAAAATGGGCATGTTTCTCAGGAAGCAGAAGGTACATTTCTCATAATTCTAAGATACTGCATTCTTGGCATATTGTTAATATATATACATGTACAATCCCTAAAATCACCCTTGCACATTGGGGTTACAAGTGCGGATCTGCATTTCCTAGGGGAAAGGGGGGTTCAAAGGTCATTTTTTCATTACTTTTACATAGAAATTTTTAACACAGAAAATTCCAGGAATGGGGGTCTAGACCCTCACCCCCACCCTACTTCATGATCTTACTTTCTCGATGTCTTGAGTGATTCAGTAAGATAATTATATACAATGTATTATAATACTAACTTCTAGGTGTTGGAATGTTGATATTGAAAGTAATAACGTTAATAAAGTTGTGTAAATTTTTAAGAAATCAAATGAGATTTTCAGAATTTTTCCACATAATATGTTATAAAATTGTTCATAATTTATGCAGTACATATGACTTTTAAGAATTTTGATTCATCTAACTGATGATAGCTTTATTATTTAATGTTTTCCTTTACAGAACATCAGAGTTTTGAATCTACAGAGTGTCAATGTAAAATTTGTGATGGATTCAAGAGGTATGCAGATCTTTGTATAATAGATTAACAAATTCCCCTATTTAGCATAAAAAAATTCCCTAATAGATACATGTATACCTGTAACATAAAAAATTCCCTTACACATATAGCATTTAAAAAAAATTCTCTCATAAATACAAGTGTAACACATATTTATTTTAAAATGTGTTACAATGATCAAGGCAAGGAGAAGAAAAAGAAATTACACAAAACAGCTGAATGTTTTGGATTACTTGCACATTAAGTAAGCTTAGTTTGAACTTTATCAGAGTTCTTCTGATTTCACAGGTTTCCTGAAAGTTGAGCATGAAGATTGCACTAGTCAAGAACCAGCGCACATTGAGACAAGATACTGCAAAATCCTCAGGTCATTTTTCCAGATCAACTCCACCAAATCTGCAGAACAACCGTACAAGTCCCTCAGTCTCTCAACCAGGCTGTTTGTCCCCGTTAGAGTGTACGGTCGTGAGTTTGAATCCTGGTCTAAGACAATGATGAGGCTGACAAAATGGATGAATTATGCAAGTAAGAAAAATAATCTGAATAAACTAGCCAGAAATGGGAAATAAAGTAGGGATACTAAAAGTTATATCCCAAATGGCAAGAATGTAGCAGCTGTCTTCTTTTACTGTTAAGAGGGTTCTTTTTTCAAAAAAACAAAAAACAAAACAAAACAAAACAACTAAGTAGTCTTTCTCACTTGAAGCTGTCAAAGCATAACATTCATTACATGCATTACAATGTTCTTAAATTTTGTAAATTTCATTTAGCTGCATTTTATACTTAATTTTCATTTTCAAAGTATCCCCCCCTTTTTTCCCCATAGAGGTTCCTCCCTTTGGTGTGGAGACTGTGCAATACCAGATCTACATTGATGGCTACAATACACCTGTTCTGGAAGACAAGATCGACTCATCTATCAGACGAAATATGGGGCGTTACCATCTCTCAACAATCAGGTACTCTTTCTGTAAAATCATGAATTTCAAATACAGTAAAACAGGCTTATAGAGACGCACTAGGGTTGGTAATAAATACATGTAATATATCCGATAAGTTTATGATATGAACATTTTAAAACTATAGGAATGCAAATCACTTAGATGTAAGCATGAATTCTTTATAAGCCCATTTGCTGTAAGCATGTTTTACTGTATGAGAAAAGGATGTAAATAGATCTTCAGAATAGAACCAGGTTTTTCAATGCCATGTTTTACATGAAATTACAGTTAAACTTTGATATCTCATACACAGATATCTCAAATACTATGGATATGTCAAAGTGAGTTGAAAGTCATAACCACTGTTTCAAAATGTATTTTATTTTTAACCATGATATCTTGAATCCTTGAATATCTCAAAATTTTCTCTCTGCCTCATTGAGTTGGAAGTCATAACCCACTTTTTCAAAATGTATTTTATTTTTAACCTTGATATCTTGAATCCTTGGATATCTCAAAATTTTCTTTCTGTCTCATCAGCTTTGAGATAAGGTTTGACTGTATACTGAGACATTATTTCCAAGCATGACTCTGATTAACTAATCAGTGACTCTATTTTTAAGGATTTAGTTCCCCTAATCAGTATGTATCTTTGATTTTAAGGATGTACTTCCCTTCCGAGTATGAGGAACCACCAACAGAGGTGTCACCTGAAGTTGACACAGGATATGCTTCTTCTTGGGGATGCTCCATATCATAGGATGAGCCAAAACATTAAGGGATTAACCTTAAAATACAGTATCCAGACACAGTCATAATAGCTGGGGAACCTGGTGACTTTTTTAGTCAGTATGCAACAGGGTATCTCTGTAAAATTGTACATTTGATTTGTTGTCTTAAAATAATGAAATCAATAATTATACATTTCAACATTTTTCTAAGTCGGTGTTGTAAGAATCTGGGTGTCCAATCAAATAAGCACAACCAGTCAATGCACAGAAAGTTGAGGGTTTTTTTTTTATTATTTTTATTTCATTTTTTTTTCTTTTTTTTTTTGGTAGAATACTGGAATAAATATTCTTCATTTATTCATAGTGTATGGTGAGCATTTTGAAATAAATTACTCTGAGCTGCCCTGATTATATCTTCAGATTTAATAGGCACTTTATAATATACATATATAGTTTCCCAAGATGGTGAAACTTTGAATCCGTCCATTTTTTTCCCTCTTTTTTTTTGAAGGGGGGGGGGTATTTTTGAAAGATGAACAGATGAGCAAGTCATTGTCAGAGAAAGCACTAGCAAAAATGTAATTTAAAATTAAATATTTATTAGTGATACACTGTAACTGTACTCAGACTTCTTGCTTTTGAAATTATTTTTTTAAAAAAAGTTCTGAATTGTGAACACCAAACTTTAAATTTTGAATGCCAAAGATATTTGCACAGGCATGTAAAAATTATCTGTATGTCTTTTGTTTTTCTTTAATCACTAAAAAATGTATCATTACAATTCAGTTATGTAAAATTTTTGTTATACATTTTTTGGGGGGATATATTGCATCAACTATGTACAGTCATTACATATGAATAGGTTATTTAAGAAATAGTTTGAAAGTTCATCAAGGTATGACCTGTAATTTTCATCTAGGCATATTTCATATGAAATTTTAAAAAATAATTTTAAGAAAATTAATATGTTTTCTGATTGTAATTTAATTCTCTATTGCCAAAATTGAAACTTAAAGTATTCCTTCTAATATTTTTAGCAATGTACTTAATTTATCAGTTACTAAAAATCTCTGAGTCAGTGGGTGTTTATGAAATATCACTGAAATTTGAAATGGTTTTAGTGCAATGTCTTAAGTGTTCAAAATCATGCATATTGATATTACATGTATATGTATTATATTTTTTCCGTCCAATAGGGCTTCAAGCCTTAGATTGTATACATACATATCAACACATTCCAGAATCATTTTTTATTTAAAATAACTGCAGTGTGTACATGTATTTACTTAATGATATTGCGTTTCATATAGTTTTACAAAATGAATATTTTTTTTTATCTTTTTGGCATTTTTTTGCATTTCTTTAAAGATAAAAGTACATATTGATAGTTGAAAGTTTTTTTTGTTTTTGTTTTTTAATTTTCTCATCATCCATAAATTGATATTGTAGTTTATTAATATTTGTAGATGTACATACATGTTATTAATAACAATTTCTAAATAAAATTTTAAAACATGCATTTTTGTAGATGTACATGTAAAATATGTATTAATCATAAATAATCATATTTTTCTGGATATATGTTATGTTCATCTTTTTTTTTATAACTTATAGGTGATCTATTTATTCCCTTAAAGTATTGTTATTTATTCATCCATGTGTTGTTTGATACACTTAATCTCTTTCCATTTTGTATCTCTTTTTTTCTGTAACGAAGAGTTGATTTTTTTTTTTTATTATTGCATATCTATTTCTGAATTTCTTATCAATGTTTTTCCAGATATTAATAAAAATATAATAATTAAAACCTGGAAATGTGCACAGTCTATTTTTCACTTCAAAACATAAATGACTTATGGATTAGGCCATTCCAAGTTTTTTTTCTGTTTAGCGTCCGCGGGCGGATTGGTTTTGAGGTTATGAAATTAAAAACAACAAAATTAAAATCAACAAATACCGGTACAAGTCTTTGAAACCCAATTTACGCTTTTGGGATTGGCATGCATCTTTCTTTTTAAAGTGGTGTACCAATTTTTTTTATTTGAATAAACTAGTAGTTTAAAAATGCAAGGAGAATTCTAAAATGATGATGAGAAATTCTAGAATTGTGCTTACGGTAATATATTTTGTTTTTTGCGTTTTGGTTTGTGTGGGGTTTTTTCGGATATAAAGATAAGTTTTCGAATATAGGGTGAATGCTAAACAAAGAACAAACTTGGAATGGCCTTAAGGACAAACGGTATTAAAATTACTATATTTACATTTAACATGCATTTTGCTTATAAAGTGCAAGGAAAGCTACGGCATTCAAAACACCATAACATGGACATGGGGTCAAAAGGTTAAAGTATGCGTTTTATTTTATTTACAAACGTCGAACGCCGTGAAGTGCAACGTTATAAGCGAAAATCAAAATTCACGCTCACATTGAACAGTTGTTACAACGGCTATTCCATTAATTGTAACTTTCCCAGAGGATAATACGGGGATTTTTAAGCATTGAATGCTTAATTAAATGTTGAGGACAGATTAGAATTTTCTCTCTTTTTTGCCATTAGTGAACAAAATTCCTTGTGCTCTCTCTCTCTCTCTCTCTCTCTCTCTCAGTGGCGTATATTCCATATAGGCAAACAGGCTGTAGCCTACACATCATTTTGTCAGGGATAAAAACTTATTTGAAAAAAATATTATTTTGTTGCAAAAAAAAAAAAAAAAAGAAAAAAAAGAATTAACAATCCGCACTTTTATATGTATCCAACGTTAATGTTTACAGTTTTGCTTTTTAAGCCCAAATGCAAGTGTTATATTAAGATGTTAACATATTATTCTGATGTCAAATGTAATGTATTGTGTTGTGAGAGTGTGTTTAATTTATACTTTGTAGGTTTTTTGTTCTAAGCACAGTAAATAAATATAGTTTGTGCCGAATCCAGTGTTGGATTTTTATCCTACAAAAGACCCGGTGACATTTATTTCACGAGTGGGACAGGATTTTTTGATATTTTCACGAGTGCGAAGCACGAGTGAAAATATCAAAAAATCTTGTCTCACGCATGAAATAAATTCCATATTCATGTAAAAAACATTGAATTTTCTGTTTATTAAATTTTCTTAGATTTTCCCTTTGCCTCTTGGGCTCACATGACAAACATCAACTTGCGTAGGCCAGAATTATGATAGACAAAATGTTAACCTTTTTCTTATTACCTTTTTCCATAGACGTGTAAAAAAGACCCTTCAAATTTCTTCTTAATCAGATTCATGACTCTCCCTACTATTTTAAAAGATGTCCGTGTTTTCAAAGGGAGGGGGGTCCAAAAATCATTTTTTGATCCTTTAATTTTACATAGAAATTTAATTAATAACTATGGAAATGCCATCTAGTTTTTTCTCCTTTGTATGTAAGTGACTGTGTAATATACCAAACATTAATCATAATTATATTGATGAAGTCAAAACTCCCAATATCAAATAAATAAATAAAAAAAAAAAAATACATCAGCTCCAATGAAAAGTAGCTACCACTGACTGATTTACGGACCCCAATTGTTCAGGACCTCCATGATAAATTATTTCAAGAACCAAACGATGATAATGACATTATTAAAAAAAAAAATAGTAGAACGGAAGAAGTCACTCGTGTAAGAGAGTTTTTGCTTCTCAGAGTATGGCTTAGTCCGAAATATCTGACGTTTTCCAGGCTTTTTTCACGATTTGATATTTTACGTGCCAGGAAAACCTGGCAAGTAAAATATCAAAATCGTGAAAAAGGCCTGGAAAACGTCAGATATATTTCGGACTAAGTATGGCTGTGAGCGTGACTAAAATGGGAAGTAAAACCCGGGCCGGGCCGGGAATTTTGGTTGTGTATGAATTTCAATATCATATTTGTTGACAATTTATGAATGAAAAATTAAGCAATGGATTTAAAGAAAATTAATTATTACTTTTTTTAAGCATAAATATATTTTCTTTCACTTATCAACACATTCTGTAGTCATTGGGGCCAAATTTTCTGAAGACCGAATTCAAAGGGAGTCGTAATTTCCTGAGACCGTTCGATGTCCAAAAACGCTACCTGATCTACCCAATCAAATCAATTACCCATAAAGGCCTAACCAAATATTGGTGGATCCATGCGCTACCACATTGTGACCCGGATGTTTATTATTCGGTTATCAAACGAGATAAGAGGTAGAAATCAAAAATTGGGTTAAATTGTGATTGTCTTCCGATGCAAGGATACCCCGAAGTTTATTCGTCAGTATAAATAGAATTTTTAAGTTCACAATGTCAAACCCAACAGCTTATCACGCATCGCCAGAAAACGTACAAGTAAACATGGCGAACCAAATGCAACAGCCTCAGATGGGATTACCGCAAGGTGTTGTTGTGCCACAGGGTTTACCCCCGGGATTAGCGTATCTCGGTGCTCTAGATGAAGTTCGAATCCACCAACATTTGGACTTAGTGGAAGGTAAATATCGCGTTTTCATTGCATACGAACACACCCGTAATATTTGCAGCGGGTAACGTTATTTCGCAACGCGAGTATGCAGCTGCTGGTTCTCCAAAAATAGCTCATCGTGACGGAACATTTAATCATGTACAATTTTTTGAGACTCATCCATTAAGTTGTGTGAATTATTATTATTATTTATCTGTATTAAGCATTCTTTCTTGGCCTCATTTAACCCCAGGAATCTATGGGTGTGGTCAAGCCTGACAGGAGTTTAAAATTTAAACTATAAATAACGTTAGATATCACTGACAGTGACACTTTTTTTTTACCCTTTACCATGTTTACAAAATACATATTATCGAAAATTGATGAAAAATGTTAATTTTAATCATCTTTATATCAAAGCATTATTGCAGATTCGAATGGCTTGTATATGTAAATGATAGTGAAAAAAATCTGTTAACATATTAAATGGCCTAAGTTGGATAAGTTTCAACAGAAAAAAATCTTGTTAATGAATGCCAAATCACAATAATTTATTTAGATCATGTCTATTAAGAAAGTTTAATGAACACACATTGTATTTATATGTTTTAAAATTGTTTTTGTTCTTTTTAATCTAATTTAAAGCATCCTACAAGAGCTTGATCACCATAAAAATCTTTTTAAAAAGTCTTTATTAACATTTCTTGATGATTATTCCTAAAAACTAAAATTTCCTGCTTCAGTTGGAACTTTTTACTTGATTTAATTAAAATTATTTCCAAGTAAACACACTGAAAGGATTTCCACAAACTTGCAAATCCAGAGAAGAAATTGTGTATATTAGAAATTTCATGTCCTTAAAGATTATTTACATAACTTACTATTGCAGCAACAGATTTTACTCACACATATAAAATTTTATTGCTGTCTAAGTGCTTCTCTAGCTCGTTCACTTTAAAAAACATTCAAAATTTAACTTATGAAAGCAGAATTTGTAGCTGATAATTCTTTCAATTGTTTAAACCATTGTATCTGGTGCAACAAATGAAGAAATCTAATTTTTATGTCAATATTCATTTTTCTGTGTGAGCATGTGGCTTAGTTTAACATTTTTATGCCATGTGACTCCTATTATTTTCAGTTATGGTTGGCTGGGAAAGAAACAATAAATACAGACTCTGTAACAACCAGGAACAGCAGTTTATGTATGCCAAAGAAGGTAAGTCAGGTTTCTTACTGAATTATGAAGTCAGAGCTAGTGGTTGGACTCTCTCTCTCCCCCCCCCCCCCCCCCCCTTGATTTGCAGAATTATTAAATGTATATACTGAAGCAAATAAAAAATGCCAATATGGATTTATAGATTTCATTGCTTATTCTTAAATATGTAAAGATTCTTTTTATATAAAATATTTATCACACTGTAATAATGACTTTATGAGAAAGTTTGTACATAACTAACTTTTTCATTTCATATGTTGAATACTGTCATTTAGTAAATCTGGAGAAAAAACATTTCAAACAAAAAAAAAATGGGATCATCCAGGATTTTGAGCCCAGGAACTCTCACATACTGAGCGAGAATCATACCCCTAGACCAATGAGGCGCTTGTCATTACGAGCAAATTAAATGCAAACAGTAGGTCACGTATACAGGTCTATATTCCTGTTCGATTTTGTCAAAATTTTACACAAGACATGGTGTCTAATTTCATGTTTGATATTGTCAAAACTTAACACAACCAGGGATGGGCACGATTACTGAAAAATGTAATCGATTAATAATCGATTACTTAGAGGAATTTCGTGTAATCGATTATTAATTGATTACACTCATTTTTGTCCTGTTATCGATTGTAATCGATTACTTTGGAAGATGTAATGGATTAATAATCGATTACATGAACATCCAAGTTTTTATCTCTTCAAATATCAAAGCAATATTTAAATGGGAAATGTTGATGTTATCCACAGAAGTTTGAATGTGTTCCTGCAGTTTCAGTGCAGATTCTTTTAAGGTTTTATTCTGGCTAACATTCTCACTAAATGCCCAAATGAGGGATTCTCTACCATGGAAAGTGGAGACATGATTCCTACAATAAAATATGCCAAGGAATTAATTATTCCTTTCAACCTTGGATCTGAACCTCCATATTTATTGACTTGTTGAAAAAAATTATTTGATATTTTATTGTGAATTACTTCAATAGAAGTATTTGGGCTGCCTGTATGTTGACAGTACACATTAAACATTCCTGTATGTGTCTTTTTAAAAAAAATAAGTAAATTAAACGAGCTCTTAGTACTAAACATGTAAATTAAATGTGTCTTTAAGCAATGTTAAGTAATTTAACTAATACATGTAGCACAATTTCATTCTGTATTGAAATAAGTGTTTTGAGAGCTATTAATTCTTTTAATAATATTGTTTGTCTTCAACGGAATGAAAGTTAAACACTATTGGTAATTCACAGTTTACACCTCATTATCTGCAATCAGGGATATGTCTCAGTCAATTAATTAGCCAATTAAGATAAACAAACACAGTGACACTTACTCCCTCTCTTACAGACACTTATAACCTAGCTCTCACTGATATAAAAGCAACCTTACAATTTTGAATGAAAACATGAGAATGATTTTGCAAATTTTAAAGTTACTAAAACACAAGTTTGAAGTTGTTTAAACATTTTCAGATTATCATAAGTATTTCCATCTTCTTCTTTTTTCAAGTACAATGTAGTTTATTCACCAAATTATTTATATTTTATACAGCACTTAAATCTGTTTTTGCTATTTATAATTTTCTATCACAAGACAGTTTTTCAACATCTGAAATATGAAAAAGGACATGCAGCAAGAGGACAGTGGGTCAAATGTAAAATGCACACAAAACTTATGATAAGAAAAGTTAGGAAATTCAAACATTACACTAGATGGTTTATATTTGATATTTATGTGTGACTTGCTTGAAATAATTCTCCAAAATAACATCCATTTATGTATAAAATAATCGAAAGTAATCAAAAAAGTAATTATAATTACATTGAAAATTTTAGCTCTAATCGATTAAATTACGATTACAAGTAATCGAAAATCTCCTTGATTACAGATTACTGTCAATTACCTGAAAAACAGTAATCATTACAATCGATTACAATTACTCGATTACAAATACCCCATCCCTGAACACAACACATGGTGTCTAATTTAGCCTTTACTAAACAGATCTAATAAATGTAAAATTTAGAATATAAAGTCCGCCGACAACCTGAATTATATGTGATAAACTCTAAAACTTCAAGTGTGATTGATGCCAACAAATTTTCAATTGACTTATGAAAAAAAAATTGAGCAAAATAAAAAAAAAATGGGACGGGACACTTTGAGAGGGGCGAGCGAGTGGGGCCATAGGGAGTTGTGGTATAAAATTTCATTGCAAAAGCTCAAAAACTTCTTGAGATATCGCCTGGAAATGAAAGTGTTACACACAGACAGAATGTATGAATTTATGAGTTTGACCTATTGACCTCAAATTCAATAGGGGTCTTCTTTAAGCCATAGGGAGTTATGTAAAATTTCATTGTAAACGGTCAGAGGCTTCTCAAGATATGGCATGGAAACAAAAGTGTTACAGACAGACGGATGGACAGACAGACCGAAATTAATATCCCACTTTCATTGAAAGCAGGGGACAAAAAAGTATTTTGTGATAGCCATTCAAATGTATTTTGTTATCTTATTGATTCATAAATCAATATGTCACTGGAAAGACTAAGTATTATCAATAGTTTATAAATAACCTGAAATACTTGTCTGAAAGACAAAGTAAAATAAAGTAGCTGAATTTTCTATTTCCCTTTAAGCAAGGCAGAATTTTCCCAGGTTTATGGTTGAAAGGTTCTGAATATACTTTGTTCACCAGAATACAAATTTTTTATATTTGTGAAATAAAAATGTGCTGAAGGAGCATTTCGCAATTCACATGCACCTAAAATTAAACCTAAATAAAGAGGGATGGTAACAACTAACCACAAACAGTTGTGATCGAATCACAACAATACATAAAGAATTACTCACACTGACTTTTGTAAAAGTAATACAACTGTGGTAGTGTGTGATACAAGTCTTCCTGCTAGCTAGAACTACTAGGTTAACCCTCTACCTTGATTGGTAAAGCACTGACTGGCATGCCAGAGGTCCCAGGTTTCAGTGTTTTAAACTAACTTGTCATCTTTGCTAGCCATGTGGGCTACTAAACCTTGTATTTCTAGGGGCCCACATCAAAATGTATTCACCCATATATTATCACAGCTTCTATAATTATGAGACGCATACACCCCAACACCCAACCCCATTTTTTGTTTCTTATTCAGAGATTTCAAGTTGAACTTTTCTTCCAGTCGTAACATTTTGCTCGACGTGTCTAAATTTGAATCTTCTGTTACTGAAGATATGATTATTCAGTAATTATAAGATGTAGTAAGAACACGTGGCAGGTTTTCATTCAATATATGGTAATTATTGATTTCTTGGGCTCACTGACCCTGTCGATACACACTGTGTCCATCACATTCACTAAATAGATGCTTTAAGAAGAAGTGGTTTTCATTGGTAATTTTGAAGCGCTTTACTGATTAAAAAATTTTTCAAAAGAAACGTACAAACTTTCAAACTAAATTGAAAACCAAATATTTATTTTCGCAAGTTTTCCAATTGCCTTGTGGGCAACTTGAATGTAATTTTGAGTAACCGATACAGAAAATTAATTGAAAATGGTGAGTATGTCAATGAGACTGGGTTTAATCTCGGGGTTTGATCCCAGACAGAGGTACTTTCTGTTACATTTGGCACCAATGTTGGGACCCAGGTATTCTCTGGTTCATGAAAGTGATTACCCCTTAAACTTTGCCTCAGAGATGTTGGCACTCCTTAGGAGAAAAGGACATTATTCCTCATATACATGTTTGTAAAAGTACACACTCTTGCAATGAGAAAATCAAAATGTTGAAATTTTCTTAACAAGGGAATTCAAGAATTTTGAAAGTGCTATGTAGATATGACAAGTTTTGATTTATACTGTAGATACGGACTGTTGTACAAGGCAGTTCTGTGGGCCTGCCCGGCCATTTGTCATGGACATTATGGACAACAACATGCAGCCCCTGATTCGATTGGATCGCCCCTTTAGGTGTCAAGCATCTTTCATGTGGTGTTGCTACTTACAGGAAATGGATATTCAGAGCCCCCCAGGAGTGTCCATAGGATCTGTGAAACAAATGTAGGTCAACTGTAAAATCTAAAGGGAAAATAAAATGTACAGTTTGATGTTTATGTCACCAGAAATTACTTTGTATGTGTATTGATACCTTGAAGCTTAGGTTAGCCATATTTTTTTTTTTCTTTATGTTTTTGAAGAAAATTTTCCCCTTAGAGTTCAACTCTCAGTCACTTGTTTTTTGACTCCACACAATACATACTGATGTGGCAGAAAGAGCTTGGTTGATGCCTTGTTGTGACAGCTGATTATGATAAGTCTGCAGGCAATGAAAGACTTTTACAATCCCATAAGTGCCTGATTTTCTATTTGCAATAGATGGACACCATGGAAACCAAAGTTTGAGATCCTAGACAGCCAGGGACAACAGAATTTTATCATTGAGGGAGAGTGCTGCTTCTGCTGTCCATGTAGAGACATTATTTTCAAGGTAAGCACACCCGCACAATTAATCAACATGGGCCCAAAGTTCAAGTTCAGGATGAGGCTAAATTACTCAAATATATTAAAAATGCATTAAATCTTTGAAAGCCTATTCCTGAACACCAAGCAGGCATATTCATTTTATAATCTTCATCAACAAGCCTAGATCATTTTTGAAAAATCAAGGTCATGGGAGTCTAAACTGTTAAATTGTTGTCTTAGCCCTAATATGGAGATTGTAGAAGTTCACTTGAACACTGGTCAACATTAAGGTTCCATGATGTGGCAATAAAATTTTCTTTAAAATATTTTTAACCAGCCAATTTCTGTGAATGTCCTATTGGTATGTCCTATTGACAATACAATACAGTGTACCTAGTTTTGACAAAGTCAAGGTAATTGGAGGAAAAAATATAAAGTTCTTCTTTGCATCAAAAAGTAAGCAACAGCGAAACTTTAAAAGATAATAGGATAGGAAGGTGGTGGAACCCCAGCCTCGAATGACCTAAGTCAATAAAAAATAGGTAGCAACTGTTCCTTCGCCAAGCGCTCGGCAGTTTGAAAAAGTTGCAGATCTTTCAGATGAGACCTTAAAAACTGAGGCCTATGGCAGGTGTTGACACAGTAAATGATCCCTCACTGCTCAATGGTCCTGAGCGCTGAATAAAGATCCAAATTTGAAGCCCTTCAACCACATATGGCAACTTCTATATATGAGTGAAAAATTCTCAGAAGTAATGATTTAATGCATGAGCCTCAGTTGACCGTCAGGGCCTATTATTTACCCATGAGAATTTTGTTTTTCTACAGGTGTTTGATCCCAAGATGCAGGAGGTGGGGGAAATCATTAAACACTGGGGAGGCTGTCGAGAAATCCTGGGAGCTGTCAATGACTTTAAAATTACTTGTAAGTTATTTTTGCCTCATGTCTAGTAATCAGAGATGGAAAAGAACGATAAAAAAAACAACAATTTCTGAGATATTGTGGAATCATTTTAATTCTTGGGGGTCAATGCTCATAGGCAAGCAAAATTTTTCTTGTTCGTAGGGATGCAGTTTCGTGGGTTACTTGTTTAGGTAGATTCAATGAATCAATACGTTTACAAAATAAATGTGGGGATGAAAATTTGCGGCTAAGGGTGGCCCACGAAATCCACGAACATTGGTCCCCCACGAACAGTGATGATTCCACAGTACACTCAAAACCAAGTTCTTTTTTTGATGTGATTTAAGTTGAAGTAGTGAAATGTTCGCCAACTTGAAGATGTATATATAGGTTTTGATGAAATGTCTGTTAAATGAAATACACTAATTAAATTAGTCACCCATTTTGTTACCATAATGTCCCATCAATCCCGGTATCCAAATCTTAATTTTGAAAATAAAATTCTTAATGAAAGAATTTATTCCTCTATTTACAGTGTACCCAATTGTAAAGGGGGGGGGGGGGGGGGGTTAAATTACTTCTCTCTTTTTCATTGCTATTGAAGCATAGCTGTCATATTATACCTGAATAATCAGTTATTTTTTCTTCCTCCAAATAGTCCCTGTGCAGCTTGATGTCTTCAAAAAGTCATTGTTGATGGGTGCAGTTTTTCTCATCGATTTCAACTACTTTGAGAGGAATAGGAACCAATAACTGGGAAAAATCGACCATGGGCATATCGCAACTATCCCAGGAAAGTGGTGTTGTGTATTATCTATTTTTAAAAACTTCAGTATGTAATCCATGTAGTGTAGTGAGGCAAATACTTGTATTAACCCTGTGTGTGCAACATGTAAAAATGCCACACATTATTCATTGAAACCTCAGTAATTTTCTCATTTTATATGGAGTAACATAAGGGTGTTTTACAGCAATGTTGTTAAATTCTTACTTGTTATGTGGCAAACAGTTTTTTTTAAGTATTTGCAGCAATGTTGTTAAATTCTTACTTGTTATGTGGCAAACAGTTTTTTTTAAGTATTTGCATCTACGCAACAAGAAAAAAAAGGGAATTTTTTTAAAAACAGGTTATAGTTATAGGTTAGTTTGTTTGAATGTTTTATCTGTAAATGCACATTTTTAAAACAATAATTATGATCTAGTTCATTTAAGATTTAAAAATTCCTGTTTTATTCATCAGTGGCCTTGGGTGTGTTTAGAAAATTGTTTTATTCTTTTAACAGATATATATGTATATTTAGAAATTTTAGCTGGTAAAATGTAACTATTTTATATTTTTTAACAAATATAAAAATGGGAACTTTCACAAGAAAAAATGTCAGTTGATAAACTACAGTAAAAGTCATTGTGAACATCTGGAGATAGCAAAAAACCAGTTCTCAGGATTTTATATTTGTTTTATTTATAAAGTTGATATTTTATCATCTAGCACTTCTTGGAGACATAATGACTTTGTTATAACCATGCATGAACTCATTGAGAGGAGTTTTTCTGTTACCAAGTACCAGGACAGTAGATTTGTACCAAGTACAAGTTTTATGAAAAACAAAAAAACAAACCTCTATCAAGACATTGTAGATGAGATGACCAGATTGCATGATAATCGAGATAAATGATACGAGATAAACGATTTGAGAATTGAGATAAACATTGATTACGTGATCTGTGGTAACTAAGTTTATTCTGTGATAAAATTTAACTTGTGTCTTTTTGACAATTTATTGGTCAGTTTGTGTATTTATTCAAAAGGTATTTTTTCTTTGATTGAAAAAGAGAACGAAAATCCATTTCAAACATAATTGTAGTTGTATATACTGTAAAGATAGATGTTTTCTTATGTCATGAACTGCAGTATCCAGGTATTCTATAATTATTTAAATTGAATAATTATTTTTGTGATCTATTAATGCCTCATGAAATTTAGTTTTCTTCCAAGTACAAACTGCACAACTGCTATAAAATCCCACTAGTAGCATGGGATCAAGACATTCCTAAATATATCATCATATTATTGTAAAATTTTAATCACCTCTTAGATACAGTTTTAATCCGTTTTGCTTTTATACCAAAGATGTGTTTTTTTTTTCGAGATAATAATGTCTTATGTATGAATACCCCGTGAACTTACCTTGTTTTGTTATTATGTTTCTCATGTATGTATAGATAATCATTTTTAATGGAAAAACTATGTGAAACCAAATATGTTAACTGTACATTTGTTTACAATATTTTATTTCAAATCCATTAGTTTTTACCTCTACCTAGTTTTTACTTCTGTCAAGTTTATAATCTTTGTTATATATATGTACAATTAGATGTAGTTTGCTTGCACAATTAAATAGAATTGATCAGTGATGCCTTTGTTGAATTGTTCATATTTACCTGTTCATTTGTAAACATGTAAAATAAAGTATACTTTATATGGATAATGGCTTTTGTTATTATTTTGGAGTCTTTCATGGGGGAGGAGATGATATATTCTGATAAATTTTGAAACCAGGGCAAATTCAAAGAACATGGGAGTAATCTCCTGAACACAACTGTGTGTGGGCAAAATATCATCTGCAGGTTTTAGAGGGTGAAAATGACAGAGTGAAAAGAACCCGGTATACACTATATGCAAAGCAATGACTATTTGTCACAATATACAAAGCATCATGAGATTTTGGGTCAAAATGCAGCTCATTGCCTGAACAGAGAATTAACACTGCATCTAATTGGTGTCTTATTGGTGTCATTTGCATTAGTCATGTACCGGTAATGGATGAAAGAGATCATGGAGACTAATAAAATACGTACTGACAATTTTCTACAGTGTCTTTTAATTAACATACATTTAAAATTAGAATATACTCATCAACCTCTACTGAAAGTGAAAGATTGCACCTATATCCTCTACAGAGCACAGCTTCAATATAAATGTTGCACAGGTCAAGGAATCCACCTTTATTATGGCACACAACCTATAGTTTACCTTGAACAACTGTCCAATCTTATGAAAGAACAGCAGAGAATGATGGTCTACCTCGCATTCAAATTTTACTACAAACATGGTTTTGGACAATTTAGGGGTGATATTAATTGGACATTGAAATTCATTTGGTTTTTATAAAAAATACAAAGATTAGGTACTAATGAAGATACTCCATAATAACATTAAGAATCAAAGTCTTTTGAAATGCCAGCACAAAACCTTCACAATTATAGCAGGATCAGAACTTGGCAGCACAGCACCTCTTTCTACATTTCAAACTTTAAATCGCCAGCACATGACAATAATATGTGAGGACATCTCTGTGTTTATTGTTGCGGGCCATAACCCCAAGCATTTGACCTAAATGTGTATCTATCAACAGTATGATCAAGTTAAAACTTTTGAGCAGATCAGTTCCAGAGTAGATACAAGTCAATCTATGACAACAATTCATTGAAGACATCAATAAGGACAGATAAGCTGCTACAGCACATGTGAGCTAATAGAAGGAAAAAAGTACACAATTCAATCAAGCACTTTATTTGATACAATGTACATGTAAATATCACAGTCTTTCCTCTTTCTTTCCACACTACCTGTTAACATTTAAATATATGAAGTCATTTTAGGATTCACTTTCAAAATCCACTCCACTGTTTCTGTCAGTAAAACCATGTCGTAATGTCTGAAAAATACAATAATAAAATAATGAAAAAGTGAGCTCACAGTAAGGTTATATCACATCAGAACCAAGCCATGTCACTTACACTGCAACTCATTTTAAACACTTCAGAACCAAGGTACATGTATGTCACAAACACTGCAATTCATTTTTATTACCTATGCAAGTAACGTGTAGATCAGTGGTTTGAAGTAGTTGATTAGTTAAGTGTAGATCAATAACTCTATTTCAGTATGAATTTTCTTTATTCAAGTGATTTATAGGTGTATTTAAAATCCCAAAATTTTTGCTATACTAAGGAAACAAAGTCATCAGGACAGAGCAGTGTATTTCTATCAGTAGATTTTACTGAGGAGCCTTAAAAATGCAAAAGGTCTCTCCTTATTGTCCTCTGCTGCCGTGAAAGTGAAAGGACACTGTAAAATCTAATTCGCCTCATCAGTCTGTCACAAAAAACTTTAATCTTGGTCATAACTTTTGAATTAGTAAAATTAGGGTTTTTATATGTATTTCACATGTACAATATATGTTACAAGACCTTTCTAAACGAACAATGATTTTTGACCCTGTGACCTTGAAGTTTGACCTACTTTTCAAAAATTTTAACATTAATGATTACTTTTGAGTGAGAGAAGATACGGTGTTCATATCCTGTGACAGAACCTTTCCAAATGAAAAATAATTTTTTACCCCATGACTGTGACCTTGAAGTCTGAACTACTTTTCCAAAAGAATAACATTGGTGATAACTTGAATGAGCATGATGAGAGAAGATGGGCATTCATATTTGACATGTGCATTACCTGTTACAAGATATTTCTGATGTACCATGGCTACTGACCTCATGACCTTAACCTTAAAGTTTAACATACAGCATTTTTCAAAAATTTTAACATTGTAATGACTTTTGAATGAGAGAAGATAGGGCTTTCATATTTTACATGTACATAACCTGTGACACCTTTCAGAAATAACTATCATTTTTGACTTCATGATCTTGTCCTTGAAGTTTGACCTACTTTTCTAAGATTTATCTTTGGTTGTAACTTTTGCTTTGAAAGAAATAGGGTTTTCATACTTTTTTCATGTGCATCACTTGTGACAAGACCTAAATGATTGTATCATATGACCTCATGACCTTGATGTTTGATACTTTACTCTTTATTGTAATGTAATTTACATCTTTTTTGTACATGTATGATGGACAGACAAGACAGGACAAATGGACAAGATAGTTACAATATGCCGTAAATAATTGCATCCCAACCACTAAGACATCAAAAGCGGGGGCAACAATTCTTTGAATTTTCTTGTTGTAAGCTGAAATATATTACTGTAAGTTTTGGTGCTGCAAAAAAGTGTATGTGTAGGTTTTGACCTTAATCTTTCCCTGAAGATCTTGAACTTGTTTTTTAATTCATCATTATGACCTTAAAGGCCAAGTTTCAATTTCAAGCTTTTAAGCCTGAACTGTCTGTAAAACTGAATTGTCTATAGCTGGATGGACAGACATCGATCCAATGAGAGGCAGAATGGAACTGATATGAAAGGAGAGAAAATATACCCCTCCCCCCTCAACATGGAGTTCACACAAAAATCTTAACCTTTCACTTAGTTCAAACACTGCATACCATTAACCAAAGGCTACTCAATGAAGGAAGAATGAGTCACACTGGTCCAAGGGCAGAAAATATATATACTCAAGACAATGCTTTTTACACATTGGTCTGCTTTGATCTGAATTCTGACCACATATATTTCTGACCTCGACATCTTCCTAAAAATTTGATTTAAGGTCACTGCACATGGCCTTCTAGGGGTAAAGTATGAGTCAGATATGGCCAAGAGGAGAGAAATGGGGCTCCCACTGGAGCCAAAATAATTTTTGCCACTTTTGAATTTCTTTTCGCCACTTTTGAAAAACATTTGCCAATGGCGAAAATGGCAAATCCCAGCTTGAGCACTGGAGGGAAAATATGCTACTGACAAGGATTTACCACTGATTCTTTTTTACCTTGACCTCTGACCTAGAAATTTGT